AAAACGCGACCAATGTGACATAAATACCAAGCGTGAAGCATGTGAAATAAAAAAAGGGGGGTGCGGAATAAAAAAAAAAGGGACGCTATGGGATGTGAGGGGTCAGGAACACTTTTTGTGACGTTGTTTGTTAGTGTGTGTGTACAGTGGCAGAGCTGTTTGGTTGTGCTGGTTGGTGAGCATGTTTGCACGGTGGTGGGAGTGCTTTTTGCTGCTGGGGTGGGTTCTTGTTCTTTGCTGGGACAAGCATTTCTGTTTGGTGTTTGATCACAGTKGGAGTGTCTTTTTGCCTGTTGCAAACGCGGTTTTGACACTGCGGGTGTGTCATGTTTGTTGTGAGTTGCTGTAGTAGCTAGTACTACATTCTGTTTGGCGGTGATGAGTCGTCCTCATTACGTTTTCACCACCAGAATCTCTTGGTGTATGGTGCGGTGAGTCTCGTGCTGGTGTGTTGATGGTGATTGTAATGTGCTGGGGTGAATCTTTCCTCTTTCACATCATGTCTCATCCTCCCATGGCAGAGTTCACCACAATACTGTCGAGAATGAGGCCAAGGCTTGTTGAGGTACAAGAAGGCTAGTAGTAGTAGTAGTATTGTATTTGCGGGGTATTGCAACTTATGATGTACTGTAGCTGTTAGTTTGTTCATCGTTGACTCATTGTTTTTTACCTTTTGCTCCATTTCTCACTCGTGCAAAAAGTGCGCTTTGAAACGGCTGCATCATCATCGTCGTGACACACACTTTTGAGTACGGTACCGGCCGGTAGGAGTCGGTAGGAGTACAGTATCGTTCGTATCAGCAATTCTCATTTCCATATGATACTTCATTTTTTCGAGTTTTAAACGCTACGGCAAAATATCATCACCAATCGTTCTCAGTCATACGCCTAACAAGCTATTGGATTGGACGAATCGATAGAGCAACCGACGCGAGGTAGCGACGGTGCGAGGTGAATGTCGAATGAATCGAAATAATCAGCAAAGATCGGGTAACAATAGTGAACACCCTGTTCTTCGCCACCGTCCTTCGTTCGAAGATATTCGCTGCAGGATCGATGATTCGGCGTCAGATCTTCCGGATCCGTCCTCCGCTCGAACTCGCTTCCACCCCGACACATTCCTAGGAAACGGTGACGAGGAGGGGGAAGAAGACAGCCTTTTGAATTGGGTCGTGGATCAATTCTTTGGAGCAGCGGCCTTCTGGATTTCGTTCGGACTCTGGACCGTTGTGGTGTTGCTGTACACGTTTGTGCGCCCGTTTTCTACCACGGTCTATCGCAGACTGGTCAACCAGATAGGCACCGGGAGCTACCTGGAAGCTATCTCGCTGCTCTTGCCAAATACTCGGATATGTCTGACGGGGGACTCGGATGTTCCGAACCCGGTCGGAACATCGATTTTGGTTTCGAACCACGTGATGAATGCCGACTGGTACAGCCTATTGGCGCTCGGGCGTTGCGTCGGACTGAGAGGTAGCATCAAGTTCTTCTTGAGGAATGAAATATTCCGACTGAACAAGCACGTTCCTCGCGAAGCATCGAGAACAACGCCGGAGTCGTCGCCGCGCAAAGCCTCTTCGGTCCAGTACACGGGCGCCCCGACCGACGACAACCCTTCCGTCGGTGGAAGAAATTATGCCATTTCCAACGGAAATGCCCTGACACGAAAAGAACCGTCACCGGATTTGGTGCTAGCTGCGAAGTTCTTCAATTCATTCCTGGAATTTCCTTTGATCGACGAAGAAGGATACGTTTCTGACAGGGAGAGTTTGTTCAAGTTGCTGCGTTCATTTACCGACAGTGAAGGAGCCACGGCACCTGTCCACTTCCTACTCTTTCCAGAAGGCTGGTCTCTCTACAATGGCGAAAGTAGAAATACGGTTTTAGCGAGAAGCAACGGTTTTGCGAAACGAGAAGGAAGACCCCAGTTGAAACATTTGTTGTTGCCTAGAACTACTGGGTTCAATGCCAGCATCAGCAGTCTCCGCGAATCAAGCCCTGTAATTTATGACGTAACAGTAGCCTATCGCGGATACAAGGGGTGTATTCCCGCCGAAGAAGACAATCTATCGCTTCTTTCTCTATGGCATACGCTTCGTCGATGTTACCCAAAGGAGGTACACATTCGAATCAAACGGTACAGCATGGAGGAAGTTCTGCGAGATGCTTCTTGGTTGGACAAGAAATGGGCCGAGAAAGATCGCATGCTTCAATATTTTTCAAGGCACAATTCTTTTCCTACAGATAGCAGGGGTTTTTGTCGTCATCAGCTATTTGAAACCCGTTTTGAATCCATGGAAACTTCCGTGCTATCCTTTTTGCGTCTCGCCTTGATCCCGTGGACGTTGCCGATTCTTATTTTCTTATCTATACCCCTTGTTTGGACCACATTTTTTGCCTGGTTGCTATATAAAGGCTATCAGTATACATACAACTACCCCGAGAATACAACCGCATCTCGGAATCAATCATCGAGTTTGGATGAGACAGACGACAATGCTGGAAATTCTTCCCGCGGGACGCCGCATATACCAGCAACACCATTTGCATCTCCATCGATTTCGAATTGGCACGACATGATGATCGACAGGATTCGTAACGAAAAGTAATTGGGAGCCTATGGCATGATTTTCTGATTGAATAGTTATATTGCTGTATATTTGTATATTAAATCGGTGGTGAAATCAGAGGCTAAGAAAGTATCAATCGAATAATTAATTTGTCAGTTACTGTAGTAACAACACCTTAAATGAAGAATCGCTGGCATTCTTCTCTCATCCTTTCCTGGATTCTTCTACCATTTTTGTTTTCTTTTTCTCCAGTTCCTTCTCTTCTTGAGTGAGAAGACGGCCCTTTGCCGCTTTTTCCTTGCGCTCTGCGTATCGGTCGGTGAGGGAATCCTTCACCGGTGCCATGACGGCCGTGAATTTAGCAAACTCCTCTGCCACATCTACAACTCTTTCCCGAAAGCTGGAATCTTTCATTCTTCCGTTGTCGTCGAACTCCTGCCATGCTTTCGCGATGGAAGATTGGTTCGTGCAACAGGGCATGCGCATCCAGCGTGCCAGCAATCTCAAGGCGTTGACTGCATTGAAGCTCTGGCTCCCACCGTTCACTTGCGCCACGCAGCTGACCGAAATCGTACAACACACGCATACAATCCAACGGTTAGACAGACTATTGAATATGAATTCCCCATCAAAACAATAGCTGTCTAAATTACATACCATGTTTTACCCTGGGTTGGTCGAACTGATCCTGTATTTAGTGGAATCCAATCGATCTACACTCAGAGTGAAAAGCACAATTGATGAGTGCACGGGGAACTATATATCCACCGAAAAATCACTGCACGTTATCTGCTGTTAGAGTAGTCTCCTCACTTACTTGATTCTTGAATACACCTGTGATAGTGCCGTGCATTTCTGGAGATCTGTATCCACAAAGAAAAAACATGATAATGATTTAGGACATTGTATACGGAGTATTAGGTTCTTCAATTACACCCAACACATCCCATCTCGCTGCAAATGCGTTTGTCAAACTTACACCCACATGTGACCTGATAACATATGGAATACAAAGCGACCATGAGTATACTCAAACTGGCGGACACAGGTGGAAAATTTCAACTTGTTCAACAAACAACAACGTTGTAACACTCACCATCACTCCAGTGTGTCAATGCTCTCAACTCGACTACTTTTGGATCATCTTCCAAAGCAGGATCTCTCACGGGCAGTCCTTTTGGGTTGTAAACCCGCACATCACAGCCCAAAAGGTCTGAATTGTTCGTTTGTTGTACAAATGATGGTGTTAATGATGAAAACATTAGAAAATCTGGCTTGCGAATGGAAAAACTTCATTAAAGCAATTTTGCAGGTTATTCATTAAACGTACCCAATAATCTTGCAAATTCATATGCTATTTCGTAGGATTTTCAATTGTCAGAGAAATTGAACATTTGAAAACAGCCAACGAAGTGAAGAACATGATGAGAAGCAATTTAAGCCAAGGCATTCACAGAAAAATGACCAAGTGGCGTCAACAAGGATAAAACATACCGCACTTCCGAGAAAAGCTGGTCGGTCGTAGACTTCCATACAAAACGAGAATTCTCGGAGGACGGCCGATGTCCATGGATTCGTAATCGTACTTGGTGATATCGTCGAGGATTTCCTTGATCCAGTCACTGGGCTTGTCTTCTTTGTCGCCTTCCTGTTCTTCCCAAACCTTGCGATGTACGTGCCAACCACCGGTAAAGTCAGCGTTGCATTCCATTGAGTATCCCGGATGATCCAAAGAAGCGAAACCATCCTTGTCGGAACCGTCCCACGAACTTTTGGAAAAACTGCTGTTGGCTTCCGTCTTCGACATGATGTTGTTGATTGGACTGTTGGCAATACTGGAACAAGTTTGAATAGAAGCAGAAAAAATAAAGACTATGGCCTTGTTTCTAATCGGAGGTATGTACGACTTCTTCGGGTAAGTGTGCGGTACTGTCATGCGATGGGAAAGGCAACTCAGGTTTTTCTTCAAAGTATGGAAGTATCGTTGATGAATCATCATCTCTGTGAGGCAAACCAAGTTTCCAATCGGCCATCTTGAACGGAGCGACGAGTTTCAATAGCTTTCTCCAACTAAGTACCGTACGATTGGCTACTAAACCTGAGTTTTAAGCGCAGTTTTTCCTAACTGCTATTCGCAAGTTTTTTGCCTTGTCTTTCCTTCTTCCGTCATTGCTCTTTGACTGGTGCCACTGGACATTCTGGGTCTTTTTACTGCGGTACTCTATGTTTGTAGTACCTCAGTAGTGGTAGTCTGATATTCAACAAGAAGTGGTCAGTTATTCGAACTTTCTGCTAAGTGTTTGCCAAAACTAGGATTTGACTAATGTGATTAGATCTACATGTGAAATGTGTGATGGTCTGGGGTTCAAGGAGGGTTGGCGTACTATTGTTGACGCTGGTGCTGTTGACCTATTTCTGTTTCTTTGCGTTGGGGGGTTGTCTCCATTGAAACACCTACTTGTTTGGTGGTATGCCCATTGTGGTCTGTTGACACTGGGGAATGTGGTGTGATGTCCTCCAGGTCTCTTGCAGCTGCAGAGTTGTTGGCTTTGCTGTGTTGTCCTTGTGTGGGTCTGCTGTATCTTGGGGCGTGTTACTACTAGTAGTAGAGTCATCTGATCCATCATGATTGGAGTTGTTGGAGCTGGTGCCATTGCCATCAACGTCATTGTCAGACTGAGAGAGAACCAGGACTTGTTTTTGGAAGCGCACTGGGGTAGGGGGTTGGCCAGGGCTCCTGGCCACGGAGCCTGCAGAGGGGACATTTTTGGGGTGTTGTCAAGATTGGTGTGGTTGAGGTGAGGCAGTCTCCAACTTGTCTTCAGATAGGAGCTCCCTGATGCATGGGAGGAGGAAATCACGGAAGGCTATGGAGACAATGTCCACGGTGTGGAGGAGACTGATGTTGTGAGCAAGAGTTCCAAAGGTTGGTGGGGTTGTTGGTGAAGTTGATGTCATGGAGCATGGCTGCTTCATTGACAGTGTGAGATCAGGCTTCTGCAKGTGTCTAGCACATGACAACAAGGGTTGCAGCTCTCCTAACGGCTCCTGGTGCTGGGCAAAGCATGGCTTGAGAGATGGTGGGCAGGGAGTTGCTTGATGGCACTTGTGAGTTTGAAAAGTTCCTGGGTTGGAATTGTGAGGGAAGTTGTATTTTTTGGGGCCTTGATAGTGTTACCTTGTTGTGCATTAGTTTGCAAACAAGGCAGCAGAGTCTGTGGTTGATTTTGTCCAAAATACCTTAAGTGGAGCTGCAAGCAATACAGATTTGTAGAAGATTGTGGTGCTTGTAAGAACAACTTTGATATGACTGCTTGCAGTGAACCAAAGGCACAATTTTTTTCAATGGAAGTACTTGAAATACAAAATTGATCTGGATGGAATGTAGCAATGTCAGTTGTAACTTCTGTAATGAGAGATGTATTGACTCTGCTTAAGAAGAAGATGTTGATATAACCAGATAAGAAGCCAGTCAAAGGATACTTTACAAAGAAGATTGGTCTACTTGAAGGCCTTTGTGCCGTTCCTTCAAAATTCAAATACATTGAATGATACATGGCAAAAGAGGATATCAGAAGATGTGTTTACTATTACATTGAGAATGTTCCTTTACTCATTGAACAACTTGTATCAGTTTGTAACATAGGAGAGGGAGAGATGGAAGATTCACTTGCATTCTCAAAATTTGAGAACAGAGTAATCCTCTGTTTTGGAGCTGATCGTGGGGCAGGAGACCTGATCATGATGATTGCTTTTGCAAATACTAGACAGAAATGTAATCACAGACGCCTCTCAATTCCTAGTATGAGCACCAGAAATATTCTCAAACCTGACAAAAACAGTGTATTCCCCTGAACAGAAAGCTATCCTTGGGCAACTTGTCAACCAACAACTGGTTATGTTTAGAATTCACTTCTTCTTGGAAAATAACACTTCTGCTGCTCTACAAGATGAGAAGTGTTTGTTGCTACAATTTATTGGAAGGATGGTGAAGAGTGAGGAGCTATTGTTGACAAAGATTGTGTGTACTCCTATTGGCAGTATGGAGTATGTTGGTGCACCACAAATACAAATGCCCCAATGGAAATTGAGAGCGCTAGGATGTGTCATTGCTGATGACACTTCCATCAGCCAGGAGTAACATGTGAAGATGGCAAAATGTGCACCACACTCAATGGTCTTTCAACTTGCAGATCATTTTACCCATGTTCCAAGTGTCTATGGCCACTGTGTGAAGGAGTTACCCCAACTTGGGTAAGTGACCAAATTACAGAAGAAAGCAGCACCAATACAACAGCAGTATTATTAACAAAAGACTACTTAGAAAGAACAGGCAAATGCAGTCAAAAAAAATCATATAATCACTTCAACTTGTGATGTGCCACTCAGGTTGAAGAAGGATCTGTTTTTTGTTATCTACAACCTCCTATATTTTCACACCAGTGATCCAATGCATGTGTCACAAGGATTGATGACTCATTTGACAGAAGAAACTGCTGTCCAGCTCCAGAAAGCAACAACAGAATCTGAACCAGAATTCATCAAGGACCAAACAAAAAAGTGAAAGCTTTCACTGAGGTAATGGGATCATGGGCAAGCTTTTGTATTACAAGTATGCAGAGAACTGATACAAGGAAGAAGACAGTCTTGTTAAGTCTACATTTAAAGGATTCTGTGCAGCTTATGACAACAAGAATGTGGAAAGAATGTGGAAAGATGTTATGAAGCTTATATTAATGCAGTATTATTATGAAGAGACGAGGTAGGTGAAGAACTAGGCTATCAGGAAACATTGCACAAACTCAATGGAGCTGATAAATTGAAGTCCCTCATCATGCAAACTTTTGAGAGAGACAGCAAGAAGAAGAATTTTACAAAGGCTGTGTATCATTTTACTATGAAAGCAATTAGTAAGACCTTTGGTGGCAATTTCAATAATGCTCAAGGAATCATGACACTTCAAGTAATGAGGAAATATAAAAAATTGTAATCAATGGATGCAACGATCATGTTGTGCTTATGATCATGACTTGTTGGCTGCAACGGATACGTACTTAGTGGAAGCATACGTACGTACTACTCCTGTATCGGAAGGCAAACTTCAGCTAAGATTCTCTTGCAGATTCCAACTGCTTTGAAATCTCAGGACAAACAGTGCAAGTGCATAGTGCAATCACAGGTGTCAGAAGACAAAAATGGGCAGATGAGAGCTGGTGGTTGTCACGCCAAGTATGGTACATGCCCAGTATGCGGTAATTTTAAGCAGCAAAAAATCAAGCAAATATTGATTCCTAGTACAAATCTGTTGTAGGATTCTACGGGAAATTTGCATATCAAGGGGTAGCGCTGGAGGATTTTGGATTTTCGATATTTTGATCTGTCTAATTAGCCAATCAGATTGCTTGATTCTTATGGATTTTAGTATTATCCCTAACCCGAAATTAAAGCCAAAATAGCCCTAAAATGATGTTTCGACTTAAAATGCTTTACCGTAGTAATTTTTTGTTTGAAGTAGGAATTTTGCCGTTGGTCTGAAACATCCGCGCGCGACTAAGAGTCCAATCAGATCGCTGAAATTCAATTTTTGAATTGGTCCGTTCAACAGAATACGAAACTTCCGAAGGTCCTCACTAGGAAAAACAAACGATAAACGCGATCCTCAATTCTGTTCAGATCTGAGAGAGTACTCGTACCGGTACGAACATTCGTACTTTTACTGTTACTGCTCGATTGTTGAATGTCGGTAGAAGATGGAAATATAGCATTCCGATCGACTGTTTAAACCTGACCACGGTAGATCCCTAGCCCAGAGTCGCAATGGATACCTCAGAGCAACGCGCCCAATCTACGTCTTTTAAGTTTCCGTTTACGGACAACGAAGATGCAGACCTGAATCTATCTAAGAGTTTCCATGAATTTCGAGCACCAAAAACACCGGTGGGAGCTCCAAGCTACAATGAGTTTGCAGATGTCAATTTTATAGCCTCTCCATCAGATATGAACCTCGGCCTTAGCCCAATCGCCGTGCTCCGAGACAGCGATGCAAGTGTAGATAGTTGCGTAAAATCATCGGGGGAAGAATGTGAACCACAGATACCAATTTCAGTGGAGAATACGAATGATGCCACAAAGAGTGACCTAAGTACAACAGGATTGGAAATAGATAAATTGATACCGCCTGATGATCATTCCTCGCCATCCAAAACTGATGACTTACATAGTGCGATGAAAAAAGTTGGTGAACGCTCAAGTAACTTTATTGATAAGATCAGAAACGCTGCTCACAAAAGAAAGGTTGCGGTCACCCGATCACGGGATTCGCTAGTAGCTAAAGAGCAAGAACAGCTCCGATCAATTGCAGAATCGAAAACTCGATTGCTTTCATTGAACGAGGAGCTGCAAATAGTGGAAAAGGAAAACGAAGAAACCACAAAAGAAAGCGTCAGCAATACGGGAAAGTCGAAACCGAAACATTCGTACAAAAATAACAAAGGTGGTTTTGGTGGGGTTGGCGTTCCAAAAGTGGAGAAGAGACCAACTACAACGCCACTATCACCAATGTTGGGTTCTCGCAGAAAAGGGGGGGGTAGAGCACCCAGATTGGTGGAAAATTCCAGAGGGCCATCGGGGAGGGGATTGAAGAATGGCCCAACTGCGAAAGCTATAGACAGGAGCAACTTTAGCACCAAAGGTCTCAAGAAAGTTTCCATTAGAGATCATAAAGATGCTGCTTCAGGGACAACAAATGGAAGATTTGCAAAACGAGGGACGGATTCGTCGAAATTGGAAGGCCCAAACGAAGAAATTTCGATACGAAATTTCACTGTCGTTCAAGCGAATGTGAGGCGATGGAACGCAGGGCAGATAGGCATTCCAAAGGTATCAAAACGCGCCGTGACAGTTCCTGTATCGCCTTGTCTTGGACCAAAACGTCAATCTCGGATAGCAGGAAGTCACGATGAAGAAAACAGCTCCAACAGCGGTAGGATCATATTGAAAGTTGAGGTCGATGCATCGAAAAGGGCAAATGGATCAATATCATCACAAAACGAAGTAATGACACCCTCATCAACGAGAATGTCTCCACTTTTAGGACTCAACCTTATTGATTCTGTTCAAAAAGTCAGGTATGCATGCAGTGAGTCAGATCGTGAATTAGCTCTGAAGAGTTCTTTCAAACCGTTCGTGCCTCGTAGCACTACGAGAGCAAAAATGAGAAGTCGTTACGACATCCTTCGCAAAGAAAAGCAAGAGATAAGACGCAGCGAAGAACGCGAACGACTGCAAGCTCAGATCAAAGTTATTCATCGAGAATTGAGGGTTTTGGGCAAAGATTTAACATAAGACACACTATATCATGTTCTAAAAATCTGATCCCGTTATATCAAACTTTCACAAAACCCTTTCATGAGCGAATTGCATTATTTATGAGCATGGCCACACACAGAAAAATCAGGAAATTGATCCCTACGAATGGCACTAAAGTGAATCACACAATATCTCTATGAAAAGCCATGGCCATCCCCCCGTCGTCGTATTTTATCAATCTGAAGTTTCTTCTGTCTATTTCATTCGGAATTCTTTGGCTATCTTTGTTCTCAGTGGGATATACCTCATTACTGTATTGTGTTAATCGGCCAATCGGTCATACCACGGCATCGTCATTTTTGACATTGCTTCCTGCGACCCATTCCCTCTCGCATTGCTTTTTTGCCTCCGCATCGTCTGTTCTGTCCGCACCCTGTAACTTTTTGCCAGTGTTCCCGTTTGCTAAACCGGTAACCTTCATGTCCTCGGCAATCGTCTGTTGGGAATCCTCTACCTTCACTCTTACATCGGAGTACATGGCGTTACCATCTTCATTTGCCCCGGGACGGCCCTTCCCGTTCTCGCCCCGTGCCATTTCCTCGGAGTTCCCGTCTACCACAGTGACGCCGTTCGCCTCGTTGCTCGATGACTGCTGTTCGGGAACATTATCTGCTCTGTCCTCGCTGAGCCATTCCTCATCTCCGGCGTCTTTCAGCCGCTCGACGAGGTGCTGCGTGGTTTCTTCCATCCCGCCGAACACGCCTTTTTCTCGCTTGTTGTCGCCGTCTCCGACAACGGAAGGTTCCGGCGACTCCGGGATGATCGTGCATCGGACCGACCGGAGGAGTTTTTCCTCGTCTTCAGCATCGCACAACCGTGTGCGCATCGTGAACCACGTGTGGCAGCGGCAAGAACAACCCAGGCAGTAACCACAAAAGTTGCAGGCCGGTCCGTTCTTGCAGGGACAGCGACTCTCGCGACTAAACTTGTTGTCCCCTGGTACATCGTAAAAGAAAAAAGAAAAAGATGGCAACGCGCGCAGGTGAGTTGTGGAGAATTTCAACAATGGATAACTGTTCCCGGACAAGTGTTGGATACTTACCCATGTGATTCAGGGTCGCGTGTCGCTTCGGATTCGAGGGGTGCATCTGGACCTTGATCAGGAACTCCCCCTGCAGGTAGCAGCCCCGGCAGATGTTGAAATCCTTCGAGAGGAGCTTCTCACAACCGTCGCAATGGAAGTAAACGTTCGAGAGCTCCTTCGAGCACAGCTTGCACTGAAAATCTGAGCTGCCGTAGGGATCCAGGGCGCAGGACTGGGGATTTTCCTGGGTGTCCGGGATCTTGGCGATCGAGAGGCGTTCTCCCTTTTCGGTGGACGTCGATTCTTCGACGTTGAGTGCCTTCATGTGCTGGCCGACAACGACGCTGAGTCCCGGATTGATTCCCCTGCAAATGTCTTCCTTGGAAGATTCGTATATGTTGGTTTGTCTCTCTTCTTTCTTCAAGGCATCGAGAAAGGATTTGGTGTTTCCTGCAGTGGCCCCCCTCGCAGGAATGGTTTTGGCCATCTGGAGCAGGGCGAGCTCCGGGATGGCCAGCGACGACACGTTGTTCTTTCGGTTGAGGGTCGACCCCTCTAGGATCGCGCACACCTCCCGGTTGATTCCGGCAGGCGAGATCCCGCGGTACATCCAGTCCCAGGCCACGCTCACACACATTTTTTCTTCCCCCGAAATGCCCTTCGATGCGACCATGGTCTTTCGCTGCTCGAAATGGCAGTCCTTGTCCGGCAACCCCGAGGTGGACATCTTGCGAAAGGCGTGGAGGCGGCCCTTGTTGATGTGCACCAGGTCGCCCGGCTCGAGAATCAACACCGAGGGACAGTATCTAGGAAACGATGGGAAAACGTTAGTTGTCATTGACGAACGAAAGCACTGCAACGATATCGAATGTACGAGCGGAGTCTTACCCCATCTTTCTGCAATCCTCGAGCATATCCTTGGTCGGCCACGGAGGCTTCTTGCCCTTTTTGGAACGAAGCAAGAGATGCAAGGAAAACAAAAATATGCACGATGCAATGAGCGATCGTTCGTATGCCTACAACAACAATCCTCCTTTCGCTCGATACCTACCAGCCCGTCCCCGTGGGGCATCGAGTACAGGCCGTCAAAGTGGGAATCATCGGTCCGGCTGCCGCTGAGGATCCACAGGGCGTGTTTCTTGTGGCGTTCCGTCAGGCGGCGCAGCATAACGACCTCGTTGTACCCGCTGATGCACAGGTGGCCGGAATCCACCGTCCCGTGGCCGTCCTGGTGGAAGTGGGTAAACGACGCCGGGGGGGTGACATACAGATTCGGTCCCATAAATGGGCGGGCCTCCGGCGTGACCTTTTGGGGAGCAATGATTTGAAGCAAGCAAGCAAGCAAGGTGTGAGTTGGTGGCCGAAGAACAACCCGCGAGAGCGAAAAATTGCCGGGCTTGGAGCACGTACCGAATTCATCATGCAGTGGGATCCACCCGGCAGCACCGCCGGGAGCTCGAAGCTCTCCAGAAAATTGTCGTTGAGCAGCGGCACTAGACGGCTCATGTCCACGTCGATCATGTACAGCGCCGAGGTCCTCACCCCGATGGTATGGGTCTTGCCCTGGTAGTCGCAAAAGGTGAACTGGGGCTCGTCTTGTGCGGTGCCGTTGTCGTTGTCGTTGCCGTTGTCGTTGCCGGCAGCCCGTTCGTTCAGGTAGGATTCCCGTTTCTCACAGTACCGGACGTAGTCCTCGAAGCGCATCGAGTACAGGACGTCCTTTTCCAAGTTCGAGACAATGCCGTTCTCGTCGACGGTCCGATCGAACCGCCGAAACTTGTGGTAGAACTCGCGGCCGACGCATTTTCTCAGGTACTCGAGGCTCCACAGGGAGGGTTCGATCCTGGACATGTTGAGGAGCCCCCTCGAAACGACGGTGATATCGTCTCGCTCGTACATTTGAAAGAGAAACTTTGAGTCCTCGAGGGTCACGACGGAGGACCTTCCCTTCCCCTGGTTTCGGCCCACCGAAAAGTCGGCCCTAAGGACCCTCGTGGCCTCGTCAAAGGACCAGCGGCAGGCACCGCTGTTCGGGAGATCCGGCAGGAGCGGTGGCGGGGGGATCGGGCGCAGGTCGTCCCTGGTCACCCCGTTCGTCCACTCCGACGGGAAGGGAGGGTTGTGGTAGACGTGTGCGGTTTCCTCCACGTAGGTATCGTTTGGGTCCGGCTCGTAGATGTATTCCTGGTACGCCCTTGACGGTTGGGGGGGTTGCCGGGCCGCCCGCGGGGCACACGGCAGGGTCTCCTCCGCCTCGTCCCCGGTCGCCTTTTTCTTCTTTCTGCGTCTGTCACTGGCGGCGGCCTGCGGTGGGTCTTCCGCCGTGTCGTCGACGAAGTAGCTCGTCCTCGACGACAGCGCCGAGGCCTTTCGCTTGGGCCGCCCCCTCGCCTGCAACGCCTCGAGGTCCCCGCTCCCCCCGTGCGCGAGGGCCGCCGCAAGCTCCGCGTCCGAACTCGGGTTCGCCCCGGGCGCTCCCACCGACACCCTCCGCACCGAGGACTTCTTGAGCTCCGAGATGGCCTTTCCCACCTTGACCATGACGTCCGCGTCCGACATGACGTACCACCGCTGGCTGTTCTTGTGCTCGATCTTGAGAAAGCGGCCCCCGATGACCCCGTATATGTGGTCCATGATCTCCCGGGCGATCTCGTTCTTGTTCTTCGTTCCGTCGCTCTCGTCCCGGAACCGCATGACGGTTTCTCGGTAGACGCGGTTCCCGGGGTGGTTGTTGAACTTGGCCAGGCCCAGGAGAATGTCCCGGTCCGTGTAGTTGCCCGTGAGCTCCCTGCCCGGGTCTCCCGCGGCCTGCCCGGTCGGGGAGCCCCCCTTGCCCTTGGTCTTGGTCTTGCTTTTCGTCTTGGTCTTGCTTTTCGTCTTGCCCTTGGTCTTGGTCTTGCTTTTCGTCTTGGGGGTGTGGACGAGCGGCGTCACCACGGAATGTTCGTTGCTGTGGTTCATGGGCAACGCCGCATGCCGGCGGGATCCGCCCGCCCTCCTTCGGGACGGCGGCAGAGACGAAGCAGCAGCGGCTTCGTCGGCGTGGCTCTCCCCGATCCCGTGAACGAGCCCTTCTCTCGCGGGAGGACCCGGTTCGGTCCCTGCCCCGGGCTTTGCCCCCGCACCGGGATTTGCCCCTCCTCCGCTTCCGTTGCTCCCTTTGCCGTCGCCGCTACGGGCCCGGGCTTCTTCCTCTTCCTCCTCCGCGGCGAGGGCTGCCGCCTTTTGGGCCCGGAGCATCCGCTGGTGCTTGCGGTGGCTCCCGTGCGTGGCCTTGGGCGACTCGTAGCGCGGCGGGTTCCTCGAGAGGTTCAGGAGCTGCTCCGCGATCGAGGGATCGACCCGTTCCAGGTCCTCCACGAGGGACTTTCGCTCGCTGGAACCCTTGAAGTGGCTCCGCGTCATGCCTGAGCAGCGGGTACTTCTTCGCTTCCCTTGGGTGGGGGTGGTCTTGCGGTGGGTGTTTCAGAGCAGCGGCGGGAAGGCGGTCGGAAAGGGTGGTGCAGAATCGATTCGAACCGATGCGATGCGACGCGATGCGATTCGATTCGAGCGTGGCTTGTCGTTGCTCGGAATCGATACCCGAGAAAGTCCTGGTGGTTGCAGATATCTGCGCGAGAGGCAGGAATCAAAACGCCACGGCGGAGATCGGTTCGATCGATAGTGAGAAACGAGCCTTTCCCGCGATTCCTTCGTTGGGCTTGGTCGTCGAATCGAATCGGAGGGAGTGCGATGAATTCGAATTGGTTGCGTCGTCCACCGGTTCCTATCGGCTGTGGTTGGGGTTCCCGAAAACGGATCGTGTGTGTGTGTGTGTGTGGCTTCGGTGGATTTCGGAAAGCGAGAGAGAAGAGCTGCTGAATTTGCAGCGGGATCAGTTGTGTTGGTGCACTTTTTTCCTGGCCCTTTTGCGTTACTACCGTACTACGAGGCCGGACTACGGTAGCTTCAAACCAGTACCTACCTCCTACCGTACCGTGTCCTATCGTACCGGCGGGACGGCACGGCCGTGACGACGAAAATCGAAACAAATCTTCGCACAACCAGAGTCCACCGTTCCGTACCGTACGGGCACCTCCTTAGGTACTGGTACAGAAATGCAGAGATTCGGACGGTAAAAAAACTCGGAACGGCAGCTGCAAGGGTTTTCGTTCGGTTCCGGATCCGCGTCTGCGGCCCCGTGGGTCTGTCCCGCAGTCCCGCAGCTGCCTTTGGATACGTTGTACAAATACGAGGTGTACTGTACCGTACGTCTCCTACCATGCCAGTCGGTTAGTGCGAGTACGTACCGTACCGCTGTACCGGCAATGCAGGATCTGTGCATACAGTATCGTACCCTACGCTATGAGCACGAGCACGAGTATGAGTGCTTCCTACCTCGTACTACTGTCCTACCCGTATGGACGGTCGATACGGGTACTAGTACGAGTACTACTTACCTACGGTACGTACAAGACCAGTATCGGAATGCTTTCGAGGGACTTCTCCTGTCACGTGCGACACTTTTCCCGGCCCCCACGGCGCGCCCAGAGTTGCAATTACTCTCTTGGTGCCGCAGTACGATTACAAGGCACCGTAACATACGCTACGCTGCTTACGCTACCGGTGCGAGAACCATTATGTTGCATATGTACTTGTACTCGGACGAAGTACGGTACTCGTCGACGAACGTTTCATAAGCCGATACAGTACTGTACTAAGCCAACGTACCGTACGGTACTCTTAGTACCATACGTACCGTACAATAGAATTGCTGTACGAGTATGAATACAAGATACTCTACTGTATCGCACACTTCATTCAGTTCAGATCGATTATGCAGCGGTACGAGTACTCTACTCGTTATCTTTCCATAGTTCGTACCTTACGGTACAGTACAGTACTGTGAGCTCGCAAACAGCGTTTCCATTCGCGCCCTTTCTGCACAGCACAGTCTGGCGGAATGAACCATCAACACAGTTAATCACTCTACGAAGCAATACCGTGCGGTACTTTACTCTCAAGTGCATTGGGACGAGTACGAGTACGAGTACGAGTACGAGTACGAGTACCGTACCGTACGCTACAAGGTACCCTACGTAGTTTATTCAGTTTTCCGTCACACAATACGTACCAGTGCCATGGGGTACAGCTTCCTGTGTCCACATCTCGTACCGTACAGCAACACACTTTAGGAAACGAATGGATTCTTGTGGGTCAACCTATCGTTTCGAAGGAATCCTAGGGAAACCGAATAAAACAAACCCCAGCGAATCCACAGGACAACAAGACAACAGGACAAACAAACAAACAAACAAACAAACAAACAAACAGACTAACGAGGTGCAACGGTGGAGGGAATCTCGCATCGATTGCTCGACACGACGTGGTGGAACAAATCACCTTGGCATCGAAGAATCCCTAGAACCCAAAACCCGTTTGTATCTTTCACGGGACGGCCAACAACCACGCATTAAGAACCGAACACGCAACACACACTCCTCTCGGGCTATTGGTGTTCCAGACCGTTTCGAAGATGGAGACTGCCGCCGCGGGATCTCCCTCTCCCGGGAATCCCGCTGGCGGGGGCATCGGTGACAGGCCGAGCTACGGCGGTGACTCCGCGACGCCACCGGACACGGGGGGAGGATCCACGGAGGTCCGCGCGGAGCTTCCGTTTCTGGTGACCCACTGGCTGGCAAACTACGACCGCGGCAACAACCGCAAAGAGGAACCGACTCCAGCCGAACGAGAGGCCGAGGCCCGGATTCGCAGGGCCACCTCGGAACTCGCGGCTGCCTTTTCCAGCCTGGGGGCCTACGGGACGACCATTGGGGTGAGTCCTGTGCTGTGCGGTGCGGTGTTTTTGGTGGTGTGCGGATCGTCCTTTCCGTGGACTGGATTCAAATGCATGCCGTCCATCCCGTTCTGTCGATATTTTCTTTGGATCGCTCTCACGCCCGTTCTTTTCTCTTTGTCGTGCGTCTTGCCACGTTTTGTTTCTTGCGCTCGGACGACGAATTCCTTCCGGTCCAGTCGTCGCTAGAATCCCCGTCGTCCTTTCTGACCCGTCCGGTGCTCCGAAACCGAACCTTCGGCGACGCGAACCGGATGCACGCGGGCCTCTCACCGTCGCACCTGGAACACCTGGCGCAATCGGTGGCCCTGCACACCGCCGCCGCGGACGCGGCTGCGGCGAAGGATGCGCGCACCGATCTCCTCCACAGGGCCAGGAGTCCCGGGGAGCCGGCCTTTGCCGGCCGCTCCGACCACACCGTCGGCGGCGGCAGTGCCGATCCCCAGGGCCGAATTCTGCAGGAAGCCATTGGTACGGCGGAAGCGGGGTATAGCGATTGCATCGAGCGGCAAGGGGAAGACCCCTGCCGATCGATCCTCCAGAGGCCCGCTCTGATTGCTGCCGCGACGAAGAGTGCCGCCGGCGACGACGAAACGAACCCGGACCAAAGCTTGGTCCGGGCAGAACGCAGCTGGGACAAAGCGCCCACGATCGACGTCCGGGCCGCGCACTGGGAGGTGGCCCACCAAACAGCCGAAGCGGTTCGGAGGTTTTTGGACCGGCGGGAAGAGCTCCGATCGACCGCCCGCGAAATCGAGTCGCTGGAGGCTTCCCTGGTGCTGCACCGGAAAAACACGGACGCAATCCAACAGAAAATAACCGAGGTGGGTGGGGACACGACGATGACCGCCGCGGAGAAAATCGGAACGATCGGAACCTACAAGAGCTCGCAGCAAAGCTCGGACCGGGTGATCAGCCAGCTGACGCGGAAGCTCTCGGACCTGCGCTCGAGCCACGAGAGCTTCGCGATGGAGGTCGACCGCCTCGAATCTGGTGTTAACGCTCTGGAACAAAGGCGCCAGACGCTGCTGCGGGCCTTTCGCGATCCCTTTGCGCCGTGGAAGGGATCCCTCGCCAAAGGCAGCCGCGTCGGTGGGTGTTTCGCGCTGCAGACCGTCCTCGGGCGGGAACAGGGATGGTCGAGGGGCCGCTTGCCGCTCTCCGGAGCGAGGTCGAGCCTTCCCAGGGGCCCAAATCCCTCCCACTTTTTGGAGTGCCGGAAGAACCTATTGTCGACGCGGTTGTCCCACGCCGTCACCATCAACGCACACATGAACTGTCCCGTTTACTGCCTTCGTTTCGATCGAACGGGCAGGTACTTTGTAACGGGTGCCGACGACTTTTTGCTGAAGGTCTTTTATATTGGAGCGGCCCAGTCCTGCCGGAAGCGGAGCAAGGGAAAGAACAAAAGCCGACGGTTGCGGTGCAATTACGGAGCGAACTTCCGGGGAGCAGTGTTGGTGTGTACCCTGCGGGGCCATGCAGGAGTGATCAACGACATTGCGGTCTCTATGGACAATTGTTTTTTGGCTACGGCATCGGTGGATGGTGACGTACGCGTCTGGGGCTTGAAGAATGGTTCCCCCGTGGCGATACTGAGGGGACACAAGGGAGGAGCCAACATGGTCTCTTGGTCGGCCCTGACCCCCTACAGATTGGTGTCTACGGGGTCGGACGGCTTTGCCAGGGCCTGGGATATCCGGGAAGCATGCTTGAAGAGATACGGCAGCATTGTGAATCAACGCGGAGAATACAACCTCCGGCTGACCGAAGAAGAAACAAAGGCCCAGGACAAGAGCCGGAAAGGAAGGCACCATCAATCTTCCGAGAAAAGCAAGAGCGATGATCTCCTTCCACCGCTTCCCCCCAGAGGGGAATCCTCACCGGCTTCCGCTCCTTCTCTTCCAAACGTCCCCACAATAGCTCCAGACGGTACGGGCTCAGCTGTCTCGCGGGAAATTCGGCCTCCGATTGGAGCAGCCGCTGCCCCTTCGAGCTATAGTGACAATAACTACAACGACAACGACATCGACAACGGAATTATAGTTCCTCCTCTGCCCGCCGCGGTACCACCGCTTGGTCAGGGCGCCGATGGGAGAAATCAAAATCCCGGAGGGTTCATCGAGGGTGCCGCCGACGGTGTAGGCCCTGGAGATTTCGTGGCGAATGACTTGATCGATGAGGGAGTCAAATTGCTATCGAAGTACCAGCACGGCACCATCCAAGAAGAGCACGGGCCCGGCACGCGATCACGGAGATCGGCGGTGAATGTGATTTGTGTTTCGCGCTGTCCGCTTGGGAAGCACTTCGTGACCGGATCCGACGACGGAATCATTCGCATCTGGGAAGACGTTGACGACAGCTCTGTGGCAATCGTTGACGCTCGATTGAGTAGTGATAGAAATCTAGACAAGCTATTGCGAAACACGAATGATTCGCAAAGAGGAGCGGACAAGCAGCCCCTGCTGAAGTTGATGGGGCATGTTAGTACAATTACTGATCTAGCATATTCCCATGCCGGCGACAGAATACTCAGTGCCAGCCAAAAGGATGGTGTAGTTCGTGTCTGGAATATAGGAATGGCAACTACCAAAAGAACTGGTCACGGTATCGAGTTCAAAGACAAACGAGTGACTCAAATCGTGATTAATCTTGTCCATCCATTCTCGAACAAAACTTCCCAACCAACTAGAAGGCGACGGCCTGGAAACGCCGCCAGAAATGCGGGTTCAAAAGTTTGTTGCGATGTTGCAGTTTGGACCCACGATGATTCCTGCGTTGTCACGTCTCAATGTGTACTGGTAAAAGAAAACAAAACAGACATTCAGCCAGGATCCCACTTTATATGCATGTGGGATTCGGAGTCTGGAAAATGTCTGATCAGTATATCCGGCGCTCATACTGCGCAATGCCAAGTGCTTATTCCACACCCCACTGACGCCTCGATCATATGCACAGCTTCGACGGATGGGTTTTTAAAATTGTGGGACTGGAGCAAAGGAAAATGCATTTTCACCCACCACAATAAAGTTGAATTTGGTCCAACAGATCCGAACAATAGAAGCAAGATTGGAGGTTATTTGGATGGATCTTTTAATCCAGATGGTAGTGCCCTTGTTCTCACCGATGACGATGGTTTCATTACTGTGCTGAGCTCTATTTCAGAAAACGACAACCCTCCAAACACAGGTATCGGTTTGGAATGGATGAGAGAACAATATTTCTCAAACGACTACTATGATCTTGCTTATGACAGGTAAATGGACTCTTTTCTCTTTCGTCTGAAAAAGTCTGTCAAGTGCCATTTCCCCTCACGACGTCTTTCTTTTCCCTCTTCCTGGATTTCTTATGCGAAACTTCCTAAATTCAATATTACTTTGAATGCTAGAAATGGGTATTGTATTGAAAAAGGTTCTGAACGGCCGCCTCACCTTGCACCAAAGGGCTCTCGATGCGCTCACAACGGAGCTCCGAACTCAGAGGAAATCAATGAAACCTTTCAAAAGTTATTAGGTCCATCACCACTTCCTGAAAAGCCGTGTTCGTGGCAACGCGAACAGATCAGGGCGAGGACCTACGCAGAGAAATACATTGTCTGTTCCTCTCATCAGAAGCCAACCGTTCGGGTCAGTGTTCGTGAGTTTGATCCCCAATCAACAGTTATTATTAGGGGGATTGATCATAGAGGTGCAGATAACGCTAGATTGCCTGTGTCAGCTGCATCTGCGTTTGGATCCTCAAGCCACCAAGGAGGTACAAGAAACCAGCCCTCTGCTTCTACTCGAACTATGTCTGCAAACTATCGATACTTGGACTACGACGACTTGATCAGACGAGAGGGCAATCCCGAGGAGGCCGAACCTGATTCGGACGACGAAGAATTTCAACCTACAGCGGCTCGCACGCATGTCAATCGGAATAACGTCGAAATCGAGTCTGAAGACGAAGATCTCGATCTTGATTTCGATGACCTTAGCACATACTCTGAAAGTAACAATCGTCGCCGAAGCAGACAACGGAATCAATCGTCTTCAAGAACAACGGAAGAACGAAGAGTCCGGGCTCAAAGGCGCGCTCAACGAAGTGACACAGATTTCGTAGAAATAGGTTCTGATGATGAATTGATTGCGCAGTTTGTAAGCTCAAACAGAACGCCCTCGGGATCGTACGTTAGGGATTATACAATTAATGGGCACTATTGGCGATTGAAAAGCCATGCAGATGCTGTACGAGTTCGACGCAAATGGTTGGAAAGAGAAGAAAGCGACTCTACATATTTTGGAAGAAATCCGTACACGCCACAAATGGGTGACTCGATTGTTTATATTCCTCGAGCACATTTCGAGACGATCAAGGAATGTCCAAGTCTATCACMGCCGTGGCAAAGCTGGCCAACAGGTGCTGCATGGCCTGTTGTTCGATGCTTCGTAAGAGGTGTACGGTACCGATTTCCTTACGAAGACTATTTTCGAAACAAACAGCATGCCAAGTGTACCAGTATTGTTGCAATTTTAACACTTGAGGTCACAGGCATTCCAGAAATATCAGACGATAGAGAATTTCCGTGGCCGAGACCATCCTTCATAGAGCCCACGCGACCGTCTATATTCGAACTTAGTGTTTTCGAAAGCTCAAGTTGCGAATACATAATTCCGGAAACACTGTATACTTCCCGGATAATGGCATTGGAGAGCCATATTAGGTCACGAAGCAATGGTGCGAGTGGTTTGGAAGTTGACCTCTACTATGAACAAGAGCAAGGAGATTCAGATCTAAAAGCATGGCCTGCCACCATTGAGGAAATTTTACCTGACGAAGGTCATTCGGATGTCCATTTGCGGGGTAGTGGTTTTGGTGTGGTGCAAGTCTGCGATGGGTCGGAGGAAAACAGAGACTTTGTCAGTCCATGGGAGTTGAATACCGAAGGAGTGAATCTGACTAGACCTTGCATAAGCGAGGTTGAAAAGGAATCTGTTCTAAAAGCCTTGAATTGCCTTCTTCGAAAGGAAGAAATTGCCAACCACCTGAGCATGCCTGTAGATCAGGAACGATATTGTGACTATGATCTAATGATTGAAATTCCAATGGATCTGATGTTGATAAAAAGAAGACTTGCCGCTAACTTCTATGGATCCAAACTTGCAGTTGCTTCCGATTTGCGTCTCATAAGAGACAACTGCATTAAATACAATACGGATGAAAATTTAATGTCGGACATTTCTATCAAAATGTGCGATGAGTTTGAGGAGAAGGTACTGAGTGATGAGGAGCGCTCACAAATGATCTCAGAGGTAGAAGTTGACAAGATTCAAAAAGAGCAAGCCGAAGGGCGACAAGTATCAAGCTTACGCATCCGGCTCAGTGCACGAACAGTTCAAGAGGCTACCCAAGCAGCTGGTTCAAGCGGCGGAAGATATACATTGAGTGACAGAACAACTACACAAGGGCAATCTTCTCTAGAAAGCTTGCCGGCTCCAGAAAATGTTTCAACCCAAAGGCAACGAAGTCGGAGGGAAACAAATGCTAGCGATGTAGCTCGCGAAGTAAATTCGCGAAGCCGAGGCAGGAACGATGAAACAGACGTTCTTGGACAAATGGCTGGGCTTCGTTCTGAAAGTCGTAGCGCTCCAAGAATTGATACAGCTGCAAGTAATATTGGAGGAAGAACGCGGATGCAACGAATGGAAAACAACTTGAGTCCAGATATTCGCAGAAGTCCACGCACACGCAGACAAGGTGTTACTGAAAATGGTGGCCCAGGAGATCGCAGGAGCCTTCGTATAAGAAACGACGTGAGGCAAAATAGTGATCGCAGTGCACCAGTCTACAGGGAAGAAAGCGACGACGAGAGTGATGAAGAGGCAATCGTTCCCACCAGGACATCTCGGCCCGAAGGCACTAGACGAAGCTCTAGAAACATTGAGCTGCGCAATTCATCACAGATTCGACAGAATGGAGGGACGGACGATACTTCGCATTCGGTGCCTCCAAGCAGAGGTTCAACGAGGGCAGCGGCGCGTGCTTCCAGAAACGACAGCGGAACAAGGAGTTCCTATTTTGAAAAACGAATCGAGGAGGAGGAATCCGATCGAAAAGAAGAACAGGGATACGAAAGTCATCAAAAGCAATCAGATTCCGAGGCCGATAGCAAATACTCGAGTGCTGCCGAGGAAGAAAGCGTCTCTTCCGACGGTGACTTGTCAGTAGAAGAAGGTCTGTCTCCACCAGCTAAGCGCAGCCGAACCTGTAGCAGATCGGTGAGGAACGCAAGCCCGGCTACACCAGATCAAGAGGCGACCTCGAGGCAGTCCAGCAGAAATGCCGGGAGGCAACGCACGAAGTACGAAGAAGTTGACTCGGATGTAGACGAATATGCCGCCGAAAGCGACGAAGAAGAAGAGGAAACGGCTCCCGTTGCCCCGGTCAGAACCTCGGGCAGGCTTCGCCGCACGATTTCGCCTCGCTGGACCGGGGACGATTCTCAATCCGACGACGACGAAGAAGAAAGCGACGAGGAGTCCTTACCAACGAAACGACGAAGTGCGAGCAAGAGAAAACGACAACCCCGGAAACAATCTCCCACGACAAAGAAAGTGAGGGGTAGCGTGGATGAGTTGCCGGAGCTGTCGAAGTGGCCCGACATTGGCGTTGGTAACATCACCCGGGTCACGAGGGCTATACTGACCCGTGTTTTGGAAAACGACGAGCTCGACATGTTCTCGAAACCAGTAGTTGAGGCCTATCCATCGATTGCTAAGGAATACCTCTCGCTCATCAAGAGTCCTATGGACCTGCGAACCATCGAGGAAGAACGGCTGAACGTTTACGATTCGATCCAGATGTTGCAAGACGATCTTGTCCTCATGTTTCGAAATTGCTGTACTTTCAATGGTCCTAACTCCGACTTTGGAATGATGGCGAGAAGGCAATGGGAGGATGTCGGCCAAATCTTTGCCGATGTCTGCAAGAAGGAAGGTGTTCTCCTACCCCGGCGCTGGAAGTAGTAATAGCAGGAACGTTTTTGCATTATCGTGATTCTTGGAGCGGAACATTGTAAACAGTTGTCCTATACTACTTCGTAGTTAAATACTAACAAGTTAAAAGCTAACAAATCCTTGCGTATTGCACTGCGTGATTATAGCTAATCAAGTCCACGAATCTCCATCTCGTTTTCACTAGCGCTCGACCCTCCAGCTGTTGCCAGCAGCCCTCGGGTATCCGGAGTGCCTGGTGCCACCGGCAAGACAATGTTTGTCGAAGGCTGTGCATTGGTGGTGATGTCACTCGCTGCGGGGTGCGAATAAAACTCGGCTCCGCGCTCTTCGCCATCGGTCGTTTCCGATACGCCAAAAATCGCGAACCCCAAGCAAAGGAGGATGATTCCGGCCTGCGATGCCGCGGTGTTGGGTTCGGGTTTGTGAGAAAAATGAAGCAAACAAAGGGTTGAAGTGTGCAGTGGGTCGAGTTTGGAAGGGCCGTGTGAGATTGCAACGGAGATTTGGGTGTCGAAATGCATCCTCTGTTTCGGCTCGCCACGATTGGTTGACTCGATCCCCAGCAGCAACAGATCACACTTCCGAAGGCAAACACAAAGACAAAAGGACGCAACCAAAATGGACACAGGAACAAAAAGCTCACAGACTAACGTACCGCAAACAGAAAAGGAGAGATAATCCAAAAGGCCGAAAAGGCAGCGCCCTGCAGCTTGGCCGCCACGAGGCCCATCAGGAGCAAAAAGCATCCCCGCCAGCAGCAACGGGTGCAGCACTCCGACCCCTGGTTCATCACGTGCTCCCGCAGCCGGTCCTTTTCTTCCTCCGATAGGTCCGACCCGGCCGCGGCGGCGGAAGGGGTCGCGGCACCGTCGGCCCCTACCGATCCGTAGTTGGTGGCGGTGCCGCCACTTCCGGGGCCGCCGCTTTCCCCGCTCTGGACGGCGCTGGTGGTTTCCGCTGCCGCGGCACTACCGCTCGCTCCGAAAGACGCCCGTGTCGTTGCCGCTGCCTCGGGATCGTCCCGGTCCCCCCCAAAGAGCCCGGGGTCTTTTTCGGCGGCACTCGCCGAGGCTTCCGCAAAACTTAGGTAGTCGGTCAGGCAGGCCCCAAGGGAGAGGATCCAGACCGGCAGAAAGACCAGCCACCAGTTCCAGTCGGCGCGGGTATCGAGCCGGACCGCCAGGGCGGAGAGAACGATGGCCCGAGCGGCGCTCTTAGCGAGTTCCCGCGCGGCGCGGGCTTTCCGCTCCTCCGCCTCGGCGAACTCGGGGCTTTCGGCCGATGGGACGACCACGTAGGCCCTCCGGATCGCCTCCGTTTCGTCGGCTGTGCACTCCCCGAGGGGCTTCCCGAGGGCCGCCTCCAGGTCTTCTACTGTGAGGGTCCGGAGCCTCGACAGCGGCCACTGCTCGTGGACATTCGCGGCCTCCCAGAGGTAGACCGGGAGAAACACGAGGCCCCACGCGCATTCCAGGACCTCGTCCAGCTTCAAAGCGAGCAGGATCTCGGCCGAGACCAGCAGCAGGAACCGGAACAGGGACCGGATCCGGTCCTTCATCGGAAAGGGGTCGATCCATTCTTCCGGCGGCACACCGTCCGGTGCCGACACGGTGGGCATCGTGAGGACTCGGGAGTGGTAGAAGAGTGCCATGGCGTTCCAGATCCACAGCGGCACCAGGGTCACCGACCAGGAGGCGTCGTCCCCCAGGTCCCCGTCCAGATGCAGGCAGACCGCCACCGGAAGGGCCAGCAGGGCCACCGCCAGGCCGACAAAGATGGCAAAAATCTTGGAGCGGTCCAGGACCGAGGACCTGGCAAAGTTCCCCGCCAGCTCCTGCGGGTCCACCGAGAAGGGTTCGTCCAGCCACTTCATGCCCTTCTCGCCGATCGCGTCATAGGTCTCCCGCTTGTGCGGATCGCTGAGGCACTCGTAGGCGTCCTTCATGCGGGTGAACCGTGCCCGGTCCTCGTCCGTGACGGGTTTTCCGCGCTGGGCCAGCTTGTCGGGGTGCATCTGCAGGGACCGCCGCTTGTAGGCCCGCTTGATCTGGTCGGGGGTGGCGTCGGACTCGACGCCCAGAAGTCCGTAAAAGCCGCTGGCCTCGCCGTCGTCGTTCTCGCCATCACCGAGAAACGATCGGCAGCAGCACAGGAAAAAGGCCAGGTCGTATCTCATGGTCGGTTGTGTGGTGGTGGTAGTGGTAGAAGTTGCTGGTTTGCGGTTCTGTTCGTTACGATGGCTGTTTTGCAATGTCTTGTGTTCTAATGATCGGACTTGGTTTCGTTTCGTTTCGTTTCGTGTTGTTTCCTTTTGTTTTGATTTGATTTTTTGTCGGTAGGTGTATGGCCAAATGGCCGACGTCGCTCTGTTGTTTCGAGGTCCTCCGGTATGTTGTGGTATGGTTTGGTGTGATGGAGCCTCACGAATGGCATTGCCGTCCAACGCGATTCTGTTCGGTCCCGCCCGACCTATGGTATTTCTGAGTACGTACGATGAGTACCGTACGGTACAAACGAGTACCGAATTTGACGGATGTTGTCAATGGTTTTACTTCTACTACCGTACGAGTACGAACTGCACCGCGACAAACAGAAACCGGAACTGCTCAAAATCCAAGCAATGCCGCGCCAACTAACGGGTACGGGTATTTCACGGGTAACAGGTGCCGTACCTGGTACCGCAGAGCAGGAATGCTACTCGTAGGAGTCAAGCCTGTGGGAGATGCGGTCGGGGTGCAGACGGGATAGAGAACAAATTACGAAGTACCTGGTACTGTATTGAAGCGGACCTACGACCGATGCGATGGCGTGTGACATGACTGCAACGGAAAGAGCACTCACAAAAAACGCACCCTCGGCGCAAAAAATCTCCGGCCCGGGATTTTCTGGTTTTGGAGCCCGGCAGCAGGCGGTTGGATGGAGGAGCTTGTGTTGGTACAACAGGCGGTAATCGTAGTTTCCTCGAAGTACGGTAGGTGGCCTACGAGCATCATAGTAAGTACTCGTACTCACCGAGCGATAAATAAGTAGGAGTACAGGTACGAAATCATACTTGTATGCGGGTTCTGTTCAACCGTGTAGCTTGTTTCCGTACGCTAAAGTACCGTACGTACAGTACCTTAATACCGCTACTACGAGTATGGTACCTATCGTACGAACGCTGCGGTTGGATGCGATGCATGGACGTTTAGATCCCATCGACACGATGAGCACGAGATCGTGAGGAGCCGTGTGTCGTCTCGGACTCCACATTCTACGGTACATCCTCGAAAGCTCTATTGCGCTTAGCTAAGATTGCATTGGACTGAATTGGACTGCATTGGACTGCATTGGACTGCATTGGACTGCATTGGACGACATTGCATCGCAGTTTACGCATTGCATCGGTGGCTGTTTCATTCGTTGGTCCAGTCGCTCTCGCTTGCTCGCTCGCTCGCTCTATCGAATTCTTCTAGAAAGCAACGCCTAGATCTTCCTCGATCACGCCACCTGAACAGAACGCCATGCCTTCGACCAGGTCCACCCTGCACTGGGTCCAGGACGACGGGATCAACATCCGGAGCATCCGCGAGCAGGACCCACCCGACCACCGCCGCGTCCACGGCAACGGCAACGGGACGAAGGACTCCCCCCGGACCAAAACCTCTGGGAAGAAGAAGCTCGCCGAAAAGGCCGGCAGCAAGCTGGCCTGTGCCATTAAGGCACTGCAGTGTTCCCCCCGTGTCGATCGGGAGGGGGGTGACAAATACACCGGCGGGCCCCTCTCGGAAGACCGCCAATCGCTGCGGGGCGGGGAAGAGCGCCGCTCGACGCGAGACAGGTACCTGCTGCACAAGCAGGAGCGGTCGCCGGACTTTGTCGCCGACTTTGCCAATTTTGAATCGATGGAGTATGATCAAGAGCAGCAGCAGCAGGCTCCGGCGTTGGTGTCGGTTTCTACGACCCTGGAACTGGAAAAGGTCCTCGCAAATCTGGACAACAGCAGCATCCAGCACAGCAACACCCACGGCTTTGCTGATGCGGAAGGAGCGACCCCTCACACACAAACGCAGCCGCGATCCGTCGATTCAGACGACGAGCTCGAGATATATGCAGACAGCACGTGTACCCTGGACACGGCAAACGATATAAACGAAAACGAAAACGAAAACGACAACGACAACGACAACCACGAGAACCAGAATGACGTGGACTACGACTGCGACAGCGACAGCGAGCACCACCAGAGGGGTGCCATCGAAGCAAGCGCGTCCTCTAGGTCGCCCCCGGGTTCACCGAGCCAGCTGCACAAGACGATCGAGAACGAATTCGGCAGGTACTCGACCGATTCGAACGACACCCCCGTCACGTGCAACAAGTCGCTCGTCGTGTTGCCGACGCCCCCGAGCCCCCACGGGAACGGCGGGGACGGGGAATTCCTCGGCAATTCCAATGGATCCTTGAGTGGAAGTGGTACCGCCCACGCCGGGGATCCCAACGGATTATTTGGCAAGCCCCCCAAAACGATTCTCCACCGGAGCTTGTCGCTGGGAGACGCACTCAGTCCGACGGAGGACGACGACGGTTCGCCGATTCGATGGCACCGGCCGAGCGGAGGCGTCGAAGAGCACAAGGACGACGTTGCCAACCACCCGGGCCGACCGTCGGCCAGGCAGCAACAAATCGAGCTGCTCCAGCTCCCGGTCATGGAGGAAGGCCCGCGCCAGGGGCTTCCCGCTGGATTCGTCGGCGAATCCGGACCGGGAGGCCAGGGATCCGGGCTCCACACCAACGCTCCCGCCCACCACGGCCTGGCGGCAACGCGGATCCGCGACGAGAACGACGACGTCTCGGCCCTGACCTCCTCAACAGTATCGTCCTTTGTCTTTTCGAGGGTGAGCCAGCAGAGCGAGACCACGTGGTCTCTCCTCCGGCAGCAGCACCGGCCGGCGGGAAGGGACGCCCCGGAAGCCGTCCGCCGCGGGTTTTTCTGGAAGACCAGGCCCTGTGTCACCGTAAAGTCGTACCGGTTCCAGCAGCCAAGGCCCCGACACCAGCCCACGCAGCTGGTGCAGGTGGGTGCCGCCACGGCGGCCGCGGCGGCCTCGTCCCTCCGAGGGAGGCAGCCGCCGCTCTCTCCGTCCACCCCCGCCCTGCACCCGGACGTCCTGCGAAAAATGACGGTGGGGAGCCAGCCTTTTCCGGTGGCGGCGACCAACCGGGTGGTGAACCAAGCATAACTGCTGACTCGCCACCCTCCCGGTTGCTCTTTTTATCACATGCCCGATGGTACTTGGTGGCGAAACTGGTTGCTGCATAGCACACGAACACACAGACACAGATTCAAAAGCAACAGAATAGCGCGAACGTGCACACAGATGCATAGTATGGAATGTATTCTACGAAGTTTATTTTTATTGCTGTTATGAATGTAGCCCCTCGGTCCGTTCTAGATCGAATAGTATACCGGATAGGCCATAAGATTAGAGAAAGAGACGACACCGTGGGTGCACCCAAACACCATAACATTGTAATACCGTTCAATCATGCCCCAGCATGATAAATACTTTGGAACGAAATACATGAAAACCAACCCAATCGTTCCATTCCCTTCCCTTGGTTTGGTTTGGTTTGATTTGGTTTGTACTATACCCTCACTACCGCCATCTTATCGCTGACGGCTTCGATTTTCTGGGTAGAATCGGGTGAACCCGGCGAAAGTTTCCCCACGCTGATTTCCGTGAACGGCTTTTCGACGGACGCGGGCGACGTGGTCGGGGTCGTCATCGCCAAGTCCAGTGTGTCCTGTGACAAGCTCACGCTGAAGCTTGCCTTCGCAGTAGAGTCCGTGGTTGCGGTGGCTTTTTCGCTTGCAGCTGCTGTTTTTTCGATTGGTGCTTCTGCTGCTCTTTCCGAACATCCTTCTTTTGTCGTGGAATCTTGTTGTTCACCGTCCTTTTGTTCGTCCTTTGGCTCATCCTTTTTTGGTTCTTCGTGGAGTCTCTTCCAGACCCTGGCAAAGAACGACTTCTGGGAACCAGTTTTCAGAGCCGCGGTTTGTTCCTTCCGCAGTTTCTTTAGCCTGGCGAGCTCTTCCTTGGTCTCCTCTGGAACCATTCGGCATTCCATCATGTGCGTGTGCACCGAGACAAAGTTTGACTCGACCGCGTTCACGCTCGACCAGAAAAACTTTCGTCCGTCTACCTGACCGGCGCAGTGCTTGCATTCCACACCAATACAACCCACGTCCTTCAGCCGCCTCTTGTTCCGGTCGGCCTCAGTGAAACGACAGGGCTGCAGCTGCCCCATTACGACAAACAGGAATTCTGCGATCTGCGGCTTGTCTTCCGGCAGAACAAGTGGCTTATTCACTGTGGTCACATTAGAAGCCACCTGTGCCAGAATGTCGAGCGAAACGGGTTTGTTCTCAGGAATCGCAGGGTCCCTGCAAAACCGTATTCCCTTCGTTGTGTCGACAAGGCCGATCTTTTTAGCGGATGTCACCCAATACTGGCGCGTGGCGAGACCCTTGGAGCCCTTCGAGCTCTGGCTCTGTAGTTCCAAAAACTTCTCCTTCACGTCCTTCGGGACCATTTTGCATTCACCCAGATGAAATCGCTGGATGTCTGCCACGGATTGGTAGATTCGGGTGATGGAAAAAGGGAAGCAAACTGCTCTGTTTAAACGCAGTTTGGCGGGCTGGCCCAAACAGTGGATACATCCGATTCCGACCTGACCAACGGAAACAGCGAACGTCGTCGGAGTTCTCACAGCAATATCTTCCTCGGTAGCAGAGAAGGCACAAACTTGTTCACGAAGAAAGCATCTGAGAGGGCTCAGCGACATCTTGTCCTCTGGAACAGAGAGAGCGACTTTGCCCGTAAATAGCTCCGATGGGAGATCGTCCGTTGAAACCGAGGTCTGAGGGGTGCCTTCTGTAGACATCGATGAACTCGTTCGATTGATACGAATATCTCTGCCAGAGGAAGATTCCGATTGTTCCCCGGGATTCTTTGAATTTATCTTGGAAGGAACATGCTCCTTACCCTTTGTCGGTAAGGAAGATGGCTTCGGTAACTTGTTTTTTCCACTAGATTGAAGTGACATAGGTACAGTAGGTATACTACTATCTGCGATACGTACTCCCATTGGACCATCTACCATTCCCAAAGATGTTGCAGCACGAATAAAATATTGCATTGTAGTTCCAGTGCTTCTCGTGTTGTTAGCTTTCAGAGCTTGAAGTGTATCCTTCAAGGGCTGTGGTACAAATTTGCAGTGTAGGAAGTGGTCCAGCTTCATATCAATAACGGTGCGGTAGATTCGCTTTATTGAGGATGGGTAGCACACAGCTCTCTTCACGCGCTCACTCGATCTAGTTGTGTGGCGGCAATGGATGCAGCGGAGACCAACTTGTCCAACGGTGACCGCATGTTTGCGGCCTGGGGCTGGTGCCTCGACGTCTTCGATGGTTGCCGTAAATACTTCAACATTCTGTAGTAAGGCAAGAAACGAAACAGAAATCGACGATTAGAAAATCCGATGTGAAGAGCCACAATACATGTTGTGTGTAATATGCGTGCATATTTCTATTCACTTACCTCGCGTACAATACAGAGAGTTTCACTCAAGGAAATGCGATCCTCTGGGAGAGCCAAAAGCTTAATTGGGCCGCTCTTGTCTACCCCCCTTCTATCGCTGTTCATCATATCCCCTGATTGCCCCTCCATCATAATTGATGGATCCACTCCACCGCTGCCTGTTTGCATGGGTGGTCCCATTATATGACCCATTCCATGCGGTTGTGGAAGCAAAGGTGGTGCACCACGAACTGGAAAGTGCAAATGAGACTGTTTCTGTTCGCTATCGAATGCCCCATGCTCGTGGCCTCTGAATTTCTTCCCTTCTTCGCTTTCTTCCCTTCCGTTGCCATTGCTCCTGCCAGGCCATGCTAAATACTGAAGATGAGGTGGCTGGTGAGGATGGTGGGGAAGGTGATGGGCATGGTGTCCCCAGTCTCTTGGAGACGCTTCCCAAGGCTGCAAATGCATATCGTAATGACTTCCATCCCTTGTGTGCCTCCCTCGCGGCGATGGCATATACGGAGCCTCCATCCAGTGTGATCCACTTCCACTGTTAACGGGAGCTGGACCGTCACGCCCACTTGGACTCCTCGAAGACCAAGAAGGAGCAGAACGAGGGTCTCGGCGGTAGTAATCCTCACGGGCTTCCCATGACATGGAACGGGCGCGGTTAGTGTACCAGTCACCAGAAGGAGATAATCCTATATCGGAGGTAGATGTAGGAATTCCACCACCTAAAGAACCCAGGCCACCATTCCCTCCAGGAATATCCATTATTTGCTGCTCGTGCTCATGCTCCTGTTGGTGTTCCCGATCGCTGTTCGGAGAGGCTTGAGAACGCGGTGTCATTGTGTACTCCTTCTCTCGTTTCGGTGATCCGGGGGATTTCGACTCGCCTGTTTTGCTACGTTTCGGAGGTAGAAATTCGGAAGGTAGAGAGGGTGATGACGATGCTGGCATAGATACGTCATTTCCATTCATTGCATCTACCGGGCGAGAATGATGCCAGAAACTTCGCTTCAAAGGTCCTCCGGTGGATACAGACGATAGCGAGCGTTCGATTCCAGGAGCCTGTCCTTCGACGGGAGGACTTGGTGGTTCCCTCTTCGAAACAACTTGGTCGCCTGTTCTAGAGATCATCCCACCAGGCGACATTTGAATTCTAGATTCCTCCAGCACCGGTGGCAGTTCACGGTCGTTAACGTATTGGTAGTCGCGTCTGCTGCCGTAGTGGTGTGGCGGTAACGGTGGTGGCGGTTGGAACGAATGATCTTGAGCATCTCGCTGTTGATGTTGGTGTGACGATCGATCGGCACTGAATTCTCCCGATGGCGATCTGTATTCGTCCCCAGGATAGCTACTCGTGTCGCGCTGGTTTGGACTGCGATGGTGGTGCCCTCCGCAATAGCGACTCGAACCATCCTCCCGTTGCTCTTCCTCCATGCTAAACGAGTGAGAAACAACCGTTTGAACCCTGGGGGTATGTGAACGAGATCGTGGTGAATAGTGAGGATGATAGTGATTCATGTGATTCTGATTCATCATTTGAGCCGGTGGTGGATAGGCTGGGTAACCTCCCCTGTTGTCGTATCTCCGAGGATAGTGGCTCGGTGCTTTTCCGTGGTACTGTTGTTCTGGATGGCGCTGAGTCGGGTGCAGGGGCTTAGCGAATTGTTGTTGGTTGTGTCTGTGATGATGCCTATTGGTTGTGTCCATCGAAGGGCTGCGCTGGATATGCTGTGAGTGGTTTTGGTAGCCGGTAGGGTGTTTTTCGTATTCTTGCGCACCATTGCCCCCATTCATCATTTCCTTTCTCATTGTCTCTCCATCCATTTTTCTGAAGTATGATGTGAGTGTAACTTTTGTGATCTACTGACTAGATTAAATTTTGGCCTTGACGAGTGATGGATAGGTTCTCTATCTCTGCAAAAATATTTGTTTTCTATCACCAAAATCTGAAAATCGATACCGTAAGACCCAAAATGCTCTGTTTGATATGCAGATGAACCTTTTGCTTCAGCTACCTAGTCGATGGACCTGTAAAGTATACAACGTATCCAAATTCTAATGAATATCACCAATTGAAGATTGAATGAAATTGTTGCTATTACACGGTAGCGAGTTGCGAAACAAGAAACCAAATGGAAAATATCTGAAACGAAATTATGTTGGAGGCAGGTGTAGTCAACGTTATTCAACCGATGCCATCACTGATGTATCACAGATTGTCAACATCGCTCACTCGCTAAACTAACTCTACAGGAAATATGGCTGGAGAAGAGGGTACAAAATCGCTGAAGCGTTAAAAAACGTTAAAAGCTCTTTTTAATTAGTTTCACAAGAGCGACGATATTTTCCTAGAATGAAGGGGCATTTGGGAATGTAGTAAATTGAGACTTTCCTTTTTTTAATTTTTTTGTTCTCAAAAATATCTACACGTACCGGTATCACGTACGTACCGTACATACTTTTCCGCATTACATATGGTACGGAAGACGTACAAACTACAACGTAGATACCGTACATCCCGTACTTCGAGATTTTTAACGTACTGGTGCCCTGTACGAAGTACAGTACTTTATTGTTCCATGTCATACGTACTGTAATACAGTACAATGACTGGTACGGTACGTACGGTACTGTACTTCAAATCGATGATTACTGTACACTGTACACTACTAACGTCAGAGTACCATACCGTATGGTACGGTACAGTAGTACGGGTAATACCTGCAGCATGATGAAGTGTTGATGATGATGATGATTCAGACCAGAATCGGATCAATTTCGAAAAAATCTTTCTCGGACTGCAAACGCGAGAACAGAGCTTCGATCATAACAAAAAGGAGGGAACTTAACGTCTTGCAACTATGAAGGATAAGATTCTTGCCGCTGTATACATTCTAGGATGGGCATTAGCCACTGGAGACTGTTTCTCCCCCAATCCTGCCACACCGATCTCTGCGAGAAGAAGACAGGCCGAGGCTTCGGTCGTTGTGAGGTCCTCCAACGAGGATGGCGACAGCGACGAACCCCTTGTAATCCCGACCAGTGATGTGGTGAAAAAGGTAGCTGTGACGGGAGCTACGGGGAAAACAGGAAAACTGGTGGTGGAAGAGCTGTTGAGTCGGAACGTCCAGGTAGTTGGTCTGGTGAGGAACGAAACAAAGGCAGAGGAACTGTACGGCGGTTCCCCTTCGGACATGCTGGACATTCAGGTATGCAACCTTTCAGACCCGTCCTCCATCGAAGAGGCCCTCGAGGGATGCGATGCCACCATATGGTGTGCTACCGGCTTCTCAGATGCCCCCGGTGGCCCTCCTACCACGACCGTTATGTCGTCCGAGCAGTCGATCGACGTCGTTGGAGTTCCGGTCGTTGCCAAAACGATGCTTCGAAACAGTGGTTCGGAAGAACGAGAACAAGCGTTCCCTAACGTGGTCATGCTCAGCAGGTACGTAGTGTCAATTACATGAGAAGCGCTCTCAAACGGGAAAAATCGCAACAGTTTGCTTTCGGTATGCCATTGATGACACGACACGTTCTGATTTTTTTCATGTTCCAACGTTTTTGACACGATACCATACGATATAATGCGACACAGCGCGGGGACCACACGACCGGGCTGGGACGAGGAAAAGAAGGATCGACTCCGGGGGTGCGCCGACATTCCCATCGTCCGGCTCAACCCGTTTGGAATCCTTGGCCTCAAGGCCGAGAGCGAGGCGAAGCTCCGGGATACCGGTGCCGACTACTGCATCGTCCGGCCATGCGGGCTGAACGACAACTGGCCCGAGGGGGCCCGGCCCGTCGTGTCGCAGGGTGACGTGGCCGTCGGAAGGATCAATCGCAGGGACGTTTCCAGGATCCTGTGCGACGTCCTGTCGCTCCCCGAGGCCCTACACAAGACCTTCGAGGTCCTCGGGCTGGGGGGCTACCCGCCCCCTTCGAGCATCGGGCCCGCCCTGGAACGGCTCCGGACGGATTCTGAGCCACCCTCCGAGGCCGAGGTGGAGGCGACGTACCTGGCCCTCCAGCAGCTGCTCCCGGGAGAGCGCCAGGACGCCGCAGCCCTTGCAATGGGACAGACCTACGAGCAGCTGGACCGGGGAGAGACGGGACGGCTCGGTGAACGGGGCACAGAGAACGTTGACGCCGCAGGAATCAAGCCCACCACGGCGGCCGCGTAAAACTCAGCGGGTCGACTTATTCGCACAATATGCCATGAAATATATCAACGTAGCGGATGTTGTCACACCGTTTGTTTTTTACACGAAAGTTCCAATACGGTGAACGACGTTTCGACAAGAAAGTTTGTAATTTAGTTTTGTCTAAGTTTTTACACAGCAAGCATCTATCTGTAAAGTGAATAGAATTCATCCTTCCATCCCGGTCGCTAGTCCAGAAACAAGTCGTTCGAGACGGGGTGCCGCGCGATGGCTCTCTGTACCGAGCGGTTCGGAACGTGCTCAAGGAGCTCGATCTTGCTGCGCTCGATCTCCTTGGTGAGGGACAGAAAGGCCCGGTACCGCTCCCGGTCGGATGGGTCTCCCCCGGCGAGGAAAAAGTTGTCGGGCGGAGGGATTCCCCTCTGCACAAATTCTTTGTGGAAGCGGCCGAGCCAGTAGGTCATTTCCTCGATCCAGGTTTCGTCCCGGTGGACCCTGAGGATCAGCGATCCGTTCGTGGCCGTCTGACGGACCATGACGGCGGAGGTGCAGTCACTGCCGATGCACAGCATCTCCATCATCAGCTGGGGTATGTATTGGCACATGACGGAGGACCCCGTCTTGCTGCCCTTGTCGTTGTTATCGTTGTTGCTGTAGGTCAGGCTCTGCTGCGACAACCGAAAGGCGCTTCCGTTCTTGTTGCGGGGTGAGTTGGGCACAAAGGGGCAGTGGTTCTTTACCTCGACAGCTTCGACCCTTCCATCGGAGTGGCACAGAACGGCGTCCGGGGTCGCCCCCAGGAGCAGCCCGCTCGCCGAAGCCGTCCGGTTGAATTCCAAGCCCGCGCCGCACATTCCGATTTCTTTCATGACGACCCCCTTGTCGCACTTCCAAAAGTAGTTGAGGGCCGTCAGGAGCGATGTCGCCTCCTGTACGTTTCCCCAGACCATTCGTATCGACCACCGCGTGGCGGCAAACTTCCTGGCGAGTTGTTTCCGGATCTTGAGATCATGCTCCGTGAACTGCACCATGTACTTGGCGGCGAAGGGAAAGTTGGCGGGCTGGGTCCAGTACACGGGTTCATCTCCGCTATTATCGCTGTCGCTCTCGTCCACGACGAAACCTTCGCCGTCGTTGTCGCTGGCGGCACCATCGCAGAGCTTCCGATTCATTTCCTCCAGCGTCGTCATCGCCACCGGTTTCCTCAACCGGTGGTAGGCTCCCTGCCCACCCCTCCTCAGCCCCCTGGGAACACCCAGGAATTCCCCCGCCTCGGGTTCCAGAAAGCCCAGAGCCGCCACCGCCTGGGAGGTGGTCATCCGGCCCTCGTGCAGGACGTCCCATTGCCAGGACTCCTGCCGGAAGTTCCGGACGTCCTCCATGCAGCCAAGGCGCAGTATGCGCTCGGGCTCCGGCAGCGGAACGAACCGCGGGTGCCTCCGGACGTGCTCGAGGGGGATGTGCCGCCACAGAACGTCGGGGAGATTTCCGCGGCTCGGTCGTTTCCGCCTTCCGGCCTTTGAGCGGCTTTTGCGTGGTGTTTGCTGTTGAGTTTGTTGTTTCTGTTGTTGTGGAAGCTTGGTTCCGGCTTCTTGTTGGTCCTGTTTTGGTGTGGTGGGCTTTGGATTGGATTTCGGTTTCGGTTTCGGTTTCGATTTGGATTTTGACTTCGATTTCTTGCCCCTGGCTGCCTGGGAGGGTATCGGGCCGGTTCCGGCCGTGGATCCAATCGCAGGGTTCGCGGTTGCGGCTCCTGCCGTTGTGGCTGCGGTTGTGGCTGCGTTGTGTGTGGGGTTCTGCTTCCTAGGCCTGCCGGCGGCCTGCGAGGGCACAAGTGCCGGCCCGATGGGGCTTCCGCTGTTGCTGCTTCTGCTTCCGGCGCCACTGGCTCGCAGCGAGGCATCTCCCGGTGGCGGCGTGACCATCGCGGCAATATCAACGGCCATCGCCAAAAGGAGGATCGATGCCGTTACGATCCAGTGCTGAGGCACACTCCACCGGCTGACGGAATGCGGGTGCCTTCTGCTGCTGCTGCTGCTGCTGCTGCTGCTGCTCCCTCTCAAGCAACTGCGGTTGCGGTTGCGCTGGTACGTGGTCCCCGAGCGGTCTTCCGGAAGGACTCTTCCCATCCTGTGGACGGTTCCGAGAATACTATGGCGCCAGTCACGGGGTGTTGCGGAAGAGGAGGATCGCAAAACGCAACATTCTCGCCTGACTGTGCTGGTGAAGCGGAAGCGGGTACAAGTAGATCGGAACGATGTTTTGTGGAGAACCTTGACTCGTGCACTCCTTACTGCACCGTACGTGCGAGTCGTATGAGCACGCACAAGTGCGTTCACTTTTCACGTGGACGTACAAGTTCTGTACTCTAAAGCATAATACCGGTACGTACGTACGTACCATAGTCGCGCGTCGTCAGAGTGGTAGAACGTAAACCCGCATTTGTCGCTTTGTAAGGCAATTGAGCTGAAATAGTCTTAAGTTCGATCGGAACCCATGTTTTCTAGTAGGGGAGGAATTCAAAAAGGGGGGATGCACAAGTGGTTTCTGAAAATGTAACAAAGGTACAGCTTAGAAAGTAATATACCCCAGTTTGTATCAAATCAAGAAACAGATCATTTACAACTAAGTTGGAAGAAGAGTTGAGGTCATATATTCTTTCACCAAAATCTTAGTACATGACTTTGATACAGGTAAATGGAAAGGATGATGTTCCCTATCTGGGTGTAGTAGTACTATACAGAGAATGCAATACTTCATTGAACTCTATGAAGGGCCCAAAAAGATCTGATGGCAAACCACCACCTTGTGCAATTGCAAATGAATTACTAAAAGGTTATTGACTGCATGTAGTACTGAAACAGTTGTTGAACAAAGAAGTAGTAGAATTGGTTCTTAGTATTTCAAAAGAAAAGAGTTAATAAACACTTGTTTTCTTACACAACAGGTGCCCACAAAAGTATTCAGGGTTATCATACTCTCTTTGATAGTGATGTTTCACAGACCAATAGAGTTATGAACTACTATAAGAACTACTTTTCATCAAAGCTGAAGGGTGAAGACAAAGAACAATTATACAAAGACCAAATTGAATCTGATGACCAAACTGAATCTCAGACTACTAGTCTTCCACAAACTGACCAATGAAAGAAAATAATATTCTCTACAAGGACAACAATAGTATTGATGACAGTAGAGTCAGTGTACCTGTCCTAATCACACTCTGATTTGAAAGAGTTCAAACAGCACACTCAAGGATTATGAAGACGACAATTTATTGAAATCTTTTGTACTAAATTTTCCTTTTGAAAATGAGAATAGAGATATTAATGGCCTCTGGTGGAGAAATGGTACAAAATCTGATACTCATTTTGCACTGCACTAAGAAGCTACACCCACCTTTCACAGACTGGAGTTTGTTACTATACTACTACACAATATTTTTGAATGGAAAAGAATGCTTACTTCAGCCACCACACAAGTTCCTGCAGATCAAAAAGTTGATATTGCGCAGTTAACAGGTGATGTATTGGATTGTGCTCTTGATAGACTTCTTGTACATAACCATCAACAAGGAGGTACATTGTCAGAAGAAAGCCCTACAGTTACTATGTTTCTTAGGAACAAGATCCAGGCAGTCACTTCAAGTATGGGTCATACTAGTGCAAGTGCAAAGATAGCTAGTAAGGGGGAAATGCCTTCAATGCTATTGGCACATGGTCTTCCAAGTGTCATGTTCACTATTTCTCCTGAAGATCTTTACAACTATGATATGGTGGGTCATGGTGGCATCAGCATCTAATGAGATTGATCCACCTGTTCCAAAGATAACTGATGATAATGCAAATTTAAATGATTTTGTGATTGATTGTGCAAACACATGACTTCTGCATCCTACCTGGCCTCTGCTGTGCAAGTAATTAGAATAACAATTTCAGATCTTCTGGGATGGAAGCCATCCCAAAAAACTACAGCATCAAAATCTACATTTGGGACATTAGTAGATGCATGGTGGGCTTACTGTGTTGAACAAGAAGGACAAAAAACATTGCATGTACATTTCCTGCTCTGGGTTACAAATTGGAATATTATTTGGGATGGGATGAATGAGTAACCCATTGAGAGGCAAAAGATTATCAAACATTTTTAAGCAAGATAAAAAATTTATCATGTCAACAAAAATGTATGCAATTATTGACTCCTCTATCTCTGCAAGTAAATGCACAAACTGCCAATCAACCATGATAGCATGCAGCAATCGCTGGTGGTAATACAGGAAAATCAAAATCAATTCATTCTGTGCAAAATTGTCAAATGCTTTGTGCAGAATTGGGAGTTACCTTTTCCAACAGAATGCTTCCTGTCACAGGCATGACTGGAACAGCAGCAGCTAAGATCAATCAGGAAACAACACCATGTAACGTTTGCTGTCTAAATTGTGACAGATCTAGCATTACATGAGACTTTTCTTCTCATTGTTCTTGATGAGATATCATTTGCTAGCATCAAACAGTTGGAAACATTGAACAAGTATCTCAACTTATTCTTATGTGATAAGCCATCATACTATAACATAGTATGTTGATCTACATAATTTCTTTCCAGGTAATTTCAATCAACTCAAACCAGTAGTAGTAGGAGACTCGTCACTCTTGATGAAAAAGGAATTCCATCTCTGGAGAGAAAAACTCACACATTTCTTGAAGTTGAACAAACCGCCGTTTTAACAATGATGAAATCTAGGGGAGACTTCTTGATGATTTAAGAACAACAAATGGCTTGAAAGAAGAGCATGATGTTCAAATGATCAATTTAAGAATTGTAAAACCCTGGGACAAACTCCAAGAAGATATTGCTTATGCAATAGTATACAGCAACAGAGACAAATGTGCAATCATTGATGGCATATTTTCTGAGAAACTTTAAACATTACATTCAAAGAATATAAATTGTAGGTTGCTGTCACCACATAATTGTAATCTCAAAGCTTCAAATCTAAAAACTGCAAATAGTAGGCAGAAAAAGAAAATACAGAGATTACTGACTGCTGTATCAGATGATGATATTGTTGAAGGTGGAACAAAATCTTCCAAAAGGATTACAGATATCAAGATATCATGTTAAAGAAAATCGAGCCATATGTACATTCAAGTCAGCAAAACTACTAAAAGTGGGTACCAGGATTGTGAAATTATCAACATTGATGGATATTTTGTTCAATGTGTGGTGGATACTTACAAGATTAAATGGATAGAGCTAGTCCTTGAAGAAGGAAGCTAAAAACGTGATCAAGTTCACTTCAAAAAGCTCTCCAGCAAAGGGCAAATTTTGGTGCTGTCAAAATTTCAAATTGAACTCAAACAAGTCACAAGGGAATAAACATTACTGAATTCCCAATTGACATTGCCAATGCAAGAACTGTTCACAAATTACAGGGAAGAGTTTTGGAAAATTTGTTGATTTTCTTTCACAAGCAATCAAAGTTATGTTGTGCTTTCAAGAAGAAGACAAGTTAGAAATTCCACCAGTGGTTTGTTTGTGAGAACACCTCTTCTCTTCTTTGCAGAAAACAACACTGCCAACAATATCAAACATAGTTGTAGACAAAAAGCAATGAATTTCATTCCTATTTTAGAAACAACACACAGCCACAGGGGTTTTGTTAATTCACTTCTAAATCCTTTTTATTTTCCCACCTTTGCACTCCCTTGGTTTTTGCACTGTATGAAGTACTTGTGTAAGCCAGCCAATTTCTAGTAACTGTGGCGTTGCATGGTCCGCCTGAGTACCATAAATGTAACCAGAATTTTGTACCTGTTGAGGTCTGTGTTATTATCATGGGAGGAGTTTTTGTAGTACTGTGGGTTCTTGAGCTATTTTTGTACTGTGGGTTTGAGAGCTTTTGCTCAAGAACCCACAGTACAAAAATGCCTCCTATGATAATAACAGGGACCTCAACAGGTACAAAATTCTGGTTACATTTATGGTTGAGGTAACTGCAAGTACTATCTTGTTCAACACCAACAAGCTCAAGAGCAGAGTCTTCTCTCACCATGGTACCTTGTTGCTGCAATAGTACTTCAAGAATGAGGGCAAGGCTGTCTGTTAGTTTGGTGGGCAAGTAGTTTGATAGGTTCCAGTCTTCGTTGTCTTGTGTCTGTCTGTTGCTCACAACACTCTCATAAGTGTGCCTGTTGAGGTGCATGCACCTGGTTAGAAGCGCACGCGAGCGCACTGTGCACTTTTTTTGTAACCATACCCACTTTTTTTTGTAACCACACTTCTAGTAGTATTGTGGAGAAAAGATGGGTCTCTCTTTAGGGAAGGGTTTGGTTTCAAGTCCTGCTTACAAAAACTCAATCCACGCGCTTATAACCAGCTTGAGGTGTGTGTGCTTAAGCAAAAAATTAATGGTGTTTGTTAGTGTAAGTGTAATTTCGATGCTACTCAACGGTTACAATACTAAGTAGTTCCGATAGTTTACATAAATCGTGGACGAAACAATATAGTTCTAGATCAGTTCAAATATTCAAGCTTCTAGTAGTAGAATTTTCGTATTACAGGCTTGACCCGTTTCAATAGCTGCGATTCCGGACGGCCACGCCCCTCGAGACGAACCCGTTCCAGTCTAGCCGCATCCCGAGGTTGGCCACCGTTCCGGAACCGGCGCGGCTGTTGCGGAGCTGCACCACAAATGCCGACAAATCGGTGCTGAAGACCTCATCGAACCTGCGGACCATCTTCTTGTACGAGTCGCTGCAGATCTCCCTGCCGACCCGCCTAGTCTGCCGCTGCAGGAGGATAGCCCGTTCTTCCTTCACCGACACCAGGGCCCGCCGGAGCTTGTTCTGGTCGCGGGCCACCGGCTGAAACGACCGCCGCTCGTTCAGGTTTCGCTGGACTGCATCGCGCTTTTCGATTGCGGTGTTGAACGAGTCATCGTGCTGGAACAGCGCGGGAGGTTTGGAGACAAAAGTAAAGTAAACAAATCAAAGAAAACAAGGGTGCTGTTGAGAATCACGCGAGACACAACAGTCCAGCTAACGACGCCGTCATCGATTCATTCTAAAACTTTACTTACTATCTTCGTACTGTCAATAAATCGTTTCATCTGGTCCGAAAAAAGCAGGCACGTATTCAGCAGCTTTATCAAGGTCTTGATGAGAGGTGGGTTCTGGAGAAGACACGCTTGGATTGTTTTGTGCAGAAACCCGTCGTGAATCTTCAGCAAGTCGTCTACCGTTTGCTGCGTCTGACCCGGCGTGCTGTCTTCGGAGGCGTCGATTGCGGAAAGCATTTCGAGCCAATTGCTCTCTACTACCTCGAAGGTCATGTAGTTCATTAGGTTCTGCACGAAGTGCAGCATCCGCTGGCGCAGCAGGAAGGTAGGCCCGAGCAGGCCACGCAGCGCGTCGAGCTTTTTCAGCACCTGGTGGTCGCACCACACGGCGACCATGCGCCGTTCAACGTGCTTTGCAAAAAATAAATGTCGGAAGAGCATCTTGTAGCTCTCCATCGAGGTGGGAGAGATGATCAGCGAGATTGGAAAGGGCACACGGGGAAATTCGATTTCAAAGTAATCGAATCCCGCCATGCCCTGCTTGGTAGAACTATACATTCGTTTCGATGGAGTGTTGTGCCCTAGGTCTTCGATTCCTCCATAGATGGAGTCCAAGTACGATACAAGACTATGTTTGGCCAGTCTGCATCGCAAACCGTTTGGGGAAAATTGGCGCGAGTTCTTGGAGCGGAACGAATTGCTCGAGTCAAAATCGTCGTTCTTCTGTGATTCGGTGGCTTGAACCGAAATTCCGAGAAAGTGCTGCACGCGCCCGATGGATACATTTTCGAACGGCTTTGCCAGTTCCTCCTCTGCGGCTTCGAGGAAATTCACCAAGAAATCACCCTGATCCAACAGAAAATATCGCTTCATGACTTGTAGCGATTCTCTCAAATTGTATTCGTGCTTGAGAATATTCATCAGGTTCCCTGAGGCAGACTTGTACATGGAGTCGATGTAACTCGAAATTTGTGATGAATCTGACTGGAACTGAAGTTTTTTCAGCTCCAGTGGCCCGGATTGCGTCTCAACTGAATTCATGGTATCTACGGTGCAAGCTTGCACTGCATTCCAATATTTTCCTGTGACCAAAATCATGTTTTTATACTTTTGGTTCCGAACAATATCACCCACTACGTGTTCCTCATTTATAGCAAAAAGCGCTGACCACGTGTCCCCATCCAGCGAGGCGTTGTCTTTCTCTTCGGAAGTTTTCTCGATCATAAATTCATCGTACGGATCCACAAGCCTGCCCGACTGAAGCCAGATCGATAGCATTTCCGCGTAGGGCGCGGAGGCTCGATCCAACAGAGTTCCGAACAAATCTTTTGCCACTGTGTCGCCCATGTAAACTCTCTTTTCCAGTGAACGAAGAGCATTGATCAGGGCCCCTCCCTTTTTGCCGAATACTACTTCCGTTGTGTGTTTCAGAATGGACATTGAGTGTAGAAGGGGTGTGATCTCGAAGTGTATATTCTTCATTGTGAAGGCTCCACTGGACGGAGGTTTCCTAATTTTCTGGTCGAGTTGGGCAACGAACGAAACAAATTGTTGTAGGAATGTATCGAGGCCTTCGCAGAAAGCTTGCATCACTCTGCCGTATTCGTATCCGGGATAGTGCGAGCCAACAAAATTCTGTACACATATATAGGAGGTGGAAAGTGGCAGAATCTTATCCACAAGATTTCGAAGACTCAAATCGAACGTCACGTCCGAGCTGTCAAAAAGTTGGAACGAACCAAGATTGCCATGCAATGAACATCCTTCAGATCCTTTCAATCGAATGTACAAACCCTCTAGACCAAGAAACGATCCAATAATCTCGTCAACTAGAATGTTTTCTTTCGCATCCGATGATAAATTGCTCTTGACACTGATGTTTTCTTTTTGGTTCCGCAGTGGTTTCGATAAATATGACCCGTTCAAGAACAGGCGTTCCCCCATTCCTTTCGGCACGGCCCAGCTAGGGCAAGGTGGAATAAAGCTTTTCAATAGCTGAAAGGTCTCCCGCACAGATGGTTCGAGTTTGTCGTGGCGTCCCAAACTTCCCAACAAACTCGGATCACCAGAAAATGGGGTCGTGTTTGGATCATAGGAATCAGTTCGCAGCACTGGCACCCCGTTTCGTATCGAGAGCAAGCCCCCATTTGAGCAATTCATGAGCAAAATGGAGCTACCACTCCTTACTGGTATAACCATGCCCGCATCCTGACTTGTCGATTTCCCGGCGACTGCAGCTTTCCCAACCAACAGCTCGGTGCCTGCTTTTGCGGAACGAATGATCCAAAGATCGGATTCTTCGCTGCCGTCCCCAAAAAATCCAATCTCGTCCATTGCATTGGTATCGTTGCATCTCTTTCGCACACCGAGAGCGCGATGTTGTTGCGCGCCAGATAACTCTATGTACACTACATCACCCTCCATTAACGGAGAAACACCATCGTCTTCTACTCTGAAGATTCTCAGCGATTCTGCGTTGTTTCCGAGGCATGGACCATTGAATTCAGCAAGGATGCCGTCGTTGCCCATCTGTAATGTTGCAGATAAGCTACAAGATTGCAGCATAACGGAATCTCCAGAGTGCAGGCAAGCTACGTCAACATCCTGCCCTTCTCTATTGCCTCGAGGGAATTTTCGATAGGGCCGGTTTCGACCCTCCCGCTGCTTGATTGGATCTACGTGTATTTCGTCCGATGGTTCTGTGTGATTGGTGTCATTGCTTTCTAATCTTTGTGCAGGATTTGCGTTAAAATTTGGTCGGGCAGCGGAACCTTCCAGCATCTCAGGAAGGGGTGCGAGTGAGATTGCGGAGGAACGATAGAGCTGGATTTGGTTGCCGCTGCCGCCATATCGATTGGGAGAAATAGGCTGCCGATGGGGCAAGCCTGCATTCGTTTGGCGATCGGTTTCGTAGCGAYTGGRAGAAATAGGCTGCCGATGGGGCGMGCCTGCATTCGTTTGGCGATCGGYTTCGTAGCGAYTGGRAGAAAKAGGCTGYCGATSGGGCGCGCCTGCATTYGTTTGGCGATCGGCTTCGTAGCGATTGGGAGAAAGAGGCTGGCGATCGGGCAGGCCTGTATTCGTTCGGCGATCGGTGTCGTCATGATGACCATTGCCACCCGCGGGTGGATCGAACCGAGTGCGCAGTGAGGGTGTCTCCGAATGGGGCGAACGGGTGGCTCTGGCTGCGTTCAAATTCTCCCCGCTCATGGAAAAGCGCGACTCCATGACAAGATCCCGCAGATCGCCGTGTTGCTCCTCCTGCTGCCGCCACGCCGACAAAGTCGTGCCTGGCAACTCGGAGTGCGAATGCCCCACGGAATCTTCTGGCAGCTCCTCTGCTGGTTGCGGAGAGCAGCTCTGGATCGGTTCGGTGGCCGTCCGCACCGCGTGCGATCGGGGGGCAACCCCGCGCCTGGTGATTTCCGAGATGTACGGCGTGCGCGGCTCGTACGGATCCCGGCCCGGCTTTGCCTCCCGCCGCTTCGCGGTGCCCGGTTGGGTTGGATTCCGCCTGGGGGATCCCCCGCTGTCTTTTTCGGCGCGGAACCGTCGCGGGGAAGGCCTCTTCTCGGGCGATATCGTTCGCCTGGGCGAGTGGCTCCGCCTGGGCAGGACGAACCCGCTCGGGTTCTGGATGGATTGCTGCAGCGATGGTATCATGGACGTCAGTGCTTCCGCGGCATCGCTGGCCGCGGCAGCAGCGGTTTCGCCGACCATCATGAGTGCCTCGGAAACGGCCGCCCGGGTGTCTTCGATGGCGGCCTGCGGGCTAGTTGGAAACATCATGGAATACGGGTCGTCCATGATGCAGCCGCTGCGATTTGTCGTTTTCGTTCGGTGGTGCGGTGGCGTCGTCGACATCACGGAAGAATCGTGATCATCTTTCTCGCTACTGCTTCGACGTACAAGGTGGTCGCGGTCGATGAAGACTTTGTTGTTGTGGTCATTGGACGACAGTGTTAGAACATGGGACATTCCAAACGAGGGCAGCTGCAATTCTTTGTTGTTGTCGTTGTTGTTGTAGTTGTTGTTGTTGTTGTTTGCCGACGGCGACGACTGGGATGCCGACACTACGTCGTGGCGCAGCGTGTCATTTGGAGACGCAATGAAAGATTTTGTGCTCAGGTTCCGTCGATCCCTTACTTTCGGTTGCGGCGATGTTCTTTCGATGTATCCAAAGCTGGAGATGCGCTCGAATTTTTCGGGGCTCTCGTACTGTTCTTGTTCGTCGGTGTCTTCTTGTTTCTTTTCGTGTTTGTAATGGATCGTTTGCGACCGAGCCGATGGGCTAATGTCGGTGCTAGCAACGATCCCATCCTGTGAGACGGTCTCTGTGTAGTGCTCTCCCTGCCCAACGGAAGAGTTCGCCGAAACATCGGAATCGACCGCGGGGTGCTGTTTTCGAGCTTGTGGTGGTTCCTGTGGGGGCTGCAACCTGCTCAGGGAGGCCCGAATCAACAAAGAGGATTCTTCGGACACAATCCTGCTGCGTTCCATGACGCTTTCGTGGTTTCTTCTCGATGCTTCCCTCGACCCGCGGTTGCCATCGCTGCCGCCGATCGTGTTTGTTGCCGTTGCGGCGGTGTACCCCGTTGCTGCCTTCGCTTTCCCCGCCGTCGGTTCGTCGCCCGGGCGGTGGCGGAGGACATCCGACGAAACAGAAGCAGAAGCCGGTTTCGGTATCATCGTCGGCGGCGGTGGATTTCTGGCACCGTCGTTCCAGCTGCTCACCTCGTCCCAGGGAGTCAGGCTCTGGCTGGTGTTGCTCCGCTTTATTGGTTGCCGCTGGGAGGACGCGTAGCTCTCTATCGTAGTCGCCGTCGGTTTCGTCATCGGTTTCGGCATCGTCTTGGGAGGTGGAGGTTTCGGTCTCTTTGGTATGCCTTTGAGGTCCCTGTGTGCCTTATTGTTTGATCGGGCCGTCCTGGCTTGGTTGCTGCCGGCACTCGGCGAGGGTACCGTTGCCGCGGTCGCGGTAGCCGCCCGGCGCTGCTGCAACTGCTGCTGCTGCTGTTTTCCTCCGGTTGCCGCCGCAGCGCTCGCGCCCTCGCTTGGTTGCTTTTCTCCGGGGATGGCCCTGGGTTCCAGAGCCGGAGCGGAAGCCGCTGCGGACGAGGGCTTGCGAAGCGACTGGGCCGCTCGCTGTCTCCTCCTTGCCAGGGCAGCACGGGCCGCGGGGGTGTCCTTTCGTTGCACCATTGTTTTCGTTCTTGTGCAGTCTCCTGCTGTTGCTGCTCGTGTGCTGTCAACCACCACGCAGCGAACAGAACCCTCCCACCGCATGATCGTTTGCGTTCCGAGCGCTTGGAAGCGAAGAGTAGTACGCGTACTTGTAGTACGGTACGTACGTACGCTACGGTACCCTACTACCGTTCAGTATGTGTGAGTGGTACGGGTACGATATGATACGATATGTACGGCAGGCGAGGGACGAGTACTCGTACTTACTGTGCGGGTTCGTAGCTGCAACACTTTCGCTCTCGTTGTTGGATTTATTTGTTGTCAAGGTTTTTGAAAAATTCAAAATTCGTATCGTCATTTTTTGTGGAATTTTTTTCGACTAAATACTTTTTCGATGCACTACACGGTTCGGACGGATTACAAGCAAAAAGGCATTCTAGTACCTGCAAATGGTAAAAATAGAACCAACTTTAGGTTTGAGATTCTAGTAGTCAGTCTCCAAATATTCATACATGTCAATCTTGCGTGAAGTCTGTCTATCGTACAGTACTCAATGAACCATTTGGCAGTTTGTTGTTTGTAAGTGAACAGGAGATTTTTGACGTTCTCTTAGCTGGGCCTTTCACTTGTTCTGTTCTTGTGGTTACTTTTGCTCCCAAGACGAGTCCCATGCAGAAGGAGGACCAAATAGCCCCACAAATCATCTCGGGGCTAGATCATTGTTTGTTTCTCAAACAAACTCAGCTGCACACTCGACAAAAAGGCGGGCAAACTGTGAAATTTTGTCATGTATTCATAGGAGGGACTCTTTGTCAACATTTTAGCGTGCTCGGTATTCAGCAGATCCAACGAAGTCACCTCCTTCCCTTCTGGCCATTGAAACACTAGGTAATCTCTTTCCCGTTCTGCAAACATAGATCGAACCTTAAATGTGTAGCGGTCGTTGTCGGGAATCATTTCCACCTTTAAAAAATCGAAACAATAGAATCTTTGGTGTTAGGCTTTCGATGAGTCGGAAAACATCTTATTCTGTCTCTGTATCGCAGCAATACTCCCACCGTGCTTACCCTATATCCCGTCATCAGGTATACTCCCTCCCTGTACCTGGAAATTTGTTCCTTGAACGATTGTTTCAATCGCTGATGCAACTTGTTTGGATCTACATCCGATGCAAAGGCGCTCTTGGTCTTCTTGTTGGTTTCAGCGCTCGAAAGAAGCTCGATTTGTTTCTTGAGAACTCCAATCTCTTCCTTCAGCGCCATGGTCAGTGGATTAGCTCCCATGTGCAGAACGCGGGTGCGTTCGGGGTTGAAGGATCCTTTTCCGGCAAGGATCTCTGCTCTGTTGGCCCGCTCTTCGGCTTTTTCTGCCTTTGCCCGCTCGGCGTAGAGAGCGTCCCGGAGTTTCCCAAACTTTTCAAGGACGGTAGCATGCTTGTTTTGCAGTTCTTTCTTCTCCGCCATCGAAGTTTTGAGGTCACCTCGCAACTCATTGGTTGCCTCCTTGAGGACGGCGTTTTCCTGGTCGGCCGCTTCCAGGGACGCCTCTAGGGCACGGACATTCGCGGGATGGCTGTTTCCCCCGGAATTGGTTCCAACGCTTCCTCCCTGACTTGCCTTCAGCGGCAGTTCATCAAAGGTTTTCACGATGGAACGGAGGCTTTCCACCTCTCGCTTGTAAACACCTTCCTGACTGCGAAGGACCTTCATGTCTTTTTGGTAGAGTTGCTGGCGCTTTTCCTGCTCCAGGCGTTGCTCTTCCCAGGCGGCCTCTTTCCGCCCAAAGCTCGACTTTTCCGCCTGCAGGATTTGGATCGCTTCGTTGGCCTTCTCGAGCTCTTTCTTCAGCTCGGATTCGTGTTTTTCCGATGCGCTGGCCCTCGTCTTTGCGTCGTTGAGGTGTTTCTGCACGACCGCAATGTCGGGGTCCCGGCTCCCCTTCGCTGCTCCCGGAGCGAACACTCGAACCATTTCCACGCCCAGAGACTGCCAGTGCCGAAGTTGTTCCGAGGTGGATTCTTCCGCCTTCACAGCCCGTTGCAGCTCCTGTTCGAGTTGTTCGATGCGCTTGCCGGCGACACGGGCCTGTTCCTTTTCCTGGAGGAACTGCTTTGTTTTTCGCTGCGCATCTTCCGCGATCCGCTTGTACTGCCGGTTCTTGCGCTCGGTTTCGGCCAATCGGATCCGCACCCGATTCAGCTCCCTCAGTGCCTTGGGCCGCGCCTCGGATATCAAGCCCTCCGTTTCTTCTCCCCCGGGCTGCATCCGGGACTGCCTGTCCACCGATTGCTGTTCCTCAAGGAGTTCTTTCATGTCGCACCTCAGCTGATCGATGGTTCCCCGGAGTTGTTCGTTTTCCGCCTCCTTCTCCTCTAGCCCTTCCTTGAGCATGTCCACACGGGGATCTCCGTCCGATCCCTTCCTCACGCCGACAAATCGTTCTTCMTCGAGTTCCTCCTGGACCTCCCGCAGCTCCGCCTTTGTTCTCGCCATGGCCCTCTTGAGCTGGTCCATGTGGCGTTCGTTTTCTTCCCGCATTTCCTCCATCAGCGCCTTGCAGTCCTTGGCCTCTTCCATGGCAAAATCGCACCGCTTTTCCAGTCGTTGCTTGATTTGAACAAAGCGCTTGGAATCCAGGGCGCGGAGGGATTGCTCGTGCTCCAGCTCGGCCTGGAGGGTCTCCAGCTCGCACGATAGGACGTCTCTCCGGGCCCGGCGTGTGGGCGGTTCGTTGTCTTGTTCGAGAATGAGGGCCGAAGCCGGAGAGGACGAGGAGAGCGCCGGGCGTTTCCGCGTGCCCCGTCCGCTCATTGACAAGGCACCACCGCTGCTCATCGTGACCGGATGTGGTTGCGGGTTATTTTTGTCCCGACAGCGGGTAGGCCCTAGAATGTGTTTGTTGTTATGGATGTGGCGCCTTTTTGGTCTCTTCTGAAAATGGCTTTAGCGGTACGAGCGCCGTGGGATTCGTCTGATTGAAGGCCAAGATCACAAGATGCGAAGAACTGCTGGATCCCATGTAGAGCATACCAGTAGAGCTGGAGATGGCGTTGTATTGATTGAGTTTGTGATGAGTTTTGGAAAAGATCATTACGCATCGATTGATGCTTCGTCGTGATCTCGAAGGTATTCAAAAATGTTGTCTTTTTCGTTGTTTGCCGTGGTGAACGCCTCGTAATGTACGACCTCGTAGAAGTACCGTACAGTACGTACTCCTACTCTTCTTCGTACGAAGGAGTTCGTACGAAGTAGAATAATAGTACTGAACCTGATTTACTACGCGTAGTACCATACCTATCTGAACTCTACATTAACGGTACTGCATTGTTATCCCTAACTCTAAGAAAATACCAACTTCGAAACAAAATCCCCTTTTCGTGCGTTTTGAAGAGATGTGGGACGCAAGGCACAGTCACAAAAATGCAAAATGAGGTACGGCACGTATGTACAATACGGTAGGATATTCAAATTTTAGGTCACACGAGAAGCGACTTCGCTGCGACAAGTTTACTTCTCGAGATTTGCACTTGTACTGTATCTCTATGTTGACCTATTGGAAAGAGATATAGTTGCTGTAGTACGCGATGAACTGTTTGGCAACCACCAGAAGGTACTGGATCCTGTTCTATGTGCTTTTGCAGGCGACTGTTGTGGCTTCTGGTCCCTCGGTTGAAACGGTTTCGGCAACGCTGGACGGAGCAAAAAAGTTGTTGGACGAGGCAGAGGGCGCTGGTTCGAACATGTCGGCGGCGTCTATGAAAGCCATGAATCAAAAGATGGCGAAACTGATGAAAAACTTCAGCCGTCTCGAATCTACGATGAAAGAAGTTGCAAAGAAAGAAGCGGAAATAAACACCCTTTTGCAAAGGGCGAATGCACTTCAAATGAAAAGTCTTGTCGAGCGTTTGCAAGAAACGTTGGAAAGAGAAAGAAAGCTCAGGGCCCTCAAAAAAGAAAAAAAGAAGCAAGAAGAGTTGTTTGACGATAAAGGATCCAAAAAGATAAGTCCAGTAGCCAATGTTGATGCAGATATTGTGGTGGAAATTACATCGGATATTCTGGAGAAACGACTTGACACTGATGCCATTGTCAATGAGAGTGAAATCGAGATGAGAAAGTGGGTACTGACAGTAATGAAAGAAGAGCTGGATGTGTTTGAAAAAAACATTCTCAGCAAGAATCCACAAGTCAATATATCTAAAGAGGATAGTGGTAATGACAAAACAAACGAGTGTCCTTCAATTAACACGATTATTACAAAGATTCAACAAGCTCTGAACAATAACGCTCAAGACGGCATCGGCAAGGTCGACCATGCGCAAGGGGGCTCTGTTGTTCATTGGCTGACCTCCGACACATATTCACCACCGCCGACTCCATCTCAAACCCTGGGATCTGTTTGGTGGAGCCAATTCATCCCTCAAGATTGGGAAAGACTCTTTCCCGCTGGTTGGGAAAAAACTCAAGCTACTATTCCCTCCTATATTTATCACAGTCTGGTACGTTGAACGACAATTTGATTTCGCCTTTGCGTAACGTAATTGACAGCAGGTATAGCATTGAAAACTACTTTGCTGAAATTTTCTCTTTTTTTGGTTTGCTAGGGTTTTTTGAGCGGGGACGTGGCTCCACCCGAAGCTATCTTACAGAAAAATACCCTACCAGGATCCTGCTGGCCGATGAAAGGGTCCAGTGGGCAAGTGGTAGTGAAGCTCCCATATCCTGTTGTTATTGAATCTGTATCTATCGATCATGTTTCTGAAGAAATCGTCCCGGAAGGCAAACGCAACACAGTGCCGACGCGTATGAAGATCGTGGGATATCCCCCGTGCGATGAATTGGACGACGTGTGCGAAACAGTTGGATTCGATCTTGATGATCCCGTTTCAATTGCTGACATAAATTATGATTTAGAAGGCCGAAGTGTACAAACTTTCGAGAGCTATTACACCAAGGCAATAGAAAACCTTCCGAAAGAACCTGAACCCACTCTCGGCGAGAAAGACGAAGAATCCGGATCTTGTTCTGTAAAAACATCCTGTAGTGCACCACCAAGGATAAGCGTAGCAGCGGTCGAAGTCAACGTGTTGGAGAATGGAGGAAATGAAGATTTTACTTGCCTGTATCGCTTGCGAGTTCACGGAGAACCCAAGTACAGTTGACCAATTCTTTGGTCGTTCAAAATTGATGTAATCTGGCAAGAGATTCTTCTTGTCTGGTAATTTAAGAACAAATGTGTTAAAATAACAAGGAGTGTCAAGCCAAGTTCCAGAGGATACTGCAAAGAGAATCCATCACTTGTTTTCCCTCTAACCCCAGACCAGTTCATCTGATGTCATTCTATTTCCCCCTAACCCTGAAGCAATCATGAATAATGCCACCAACAATTCTTTGTCTTATTTCATGTCAGAACCAATCTAAATACCAGTACTAGAAAATTGACTTTAAATCAGGAATTCTGTATGTTTAAAGTCACTACAGTCAGTTGATGGTAGCTCTTTTTTATTTTATCAAGGAGTGTAAGTTATACCTGTTGTGTTATTCAAGTGCCAAAATGTCCCTTCTATAATCACTTTGTAGTGGTAGATTTATCGTCACTTTATAGTTGATATATTTCTACGTTGATTGTTGTAGTTGTTCTGTGTTTTTCTTTTGGTTATTTTTCTGGGATACCATGGTTGTAAGAGAGGCCTTTTGTGGGGTTGGGCTGTCCAAATTTGTCTTATGTCAGTAGCGGTGGCTGAATTTTGTTAACTGCTGGTCTTGTTGGTGCCAGTTTTTGTATTGTTTTAGGCCTTTTTTTGTTGCTGTCTGGTTTTTGGTTAGTTGCCACTCTTGTTGGTGCTGGTTTTTGTGTCGTTTTTTCAGTATTTTGTTGTCACTGTCTGTTTTTTCTTGTGTACTGGCATCCTGTAGTAAGGGTGTCACTTTGTGTTGTCAAGGGGTGTCAAGGTGATGGGGTTTGTTTGTTTGTTTGTTTGTTGTGGTCGCAGATTGTTTTTGGGTGGGGTCTGTCCATTGTTTGTTGATTTGGAAATGAATGTCTTTTTGGATATTGCAAATGTGGTCTCAATAAGGCAGGGTATCATATGTTTGTTGCAAGTTGCTGTACATTCTGTTTGGGGGTGAGTTGTTGCATTTTCACCGGATTCTTGTGGAGAATGACGATGTGGTGAGTTTCTTGCTGCTGTGGTGATGATTGTTGTGATGTACTGGGCTGGTGAATCTTTCCTCTTTCACATCATGTCTCATCCTACTGTGGCAGGTGGCTACGGTGCACTTGACTTCACTAACTTTAGTGCGCGGTAGCCAGTAACTTTGAAGAATTCTTACAGCCCTGGACTTACCGAGGAAACAAAAAGAAACTTGTTTTTAGTGTGGATTTGTGTAAACCCTGATATACCATTTTTTGCAAATAAATTAGTACCTTTACCAAAAATAGATTATTCATTTTTAACTTAAACATTCAGTCATTATTCTTGTGACAACAAGTCATTCTAGCTACTAGTAGCAAGAATAGCTTAGTTTTTGCACCGTGTAGTAGTAAGTTCTTTTTCTGCCACTGCCATTCAAGACACAACAGCAACAATGGCGGTGGCAACCAATCCTTCATTGAAATACTTTCAAGAAATAGACCAAGGCCCATTGAGGTCCAAGGGTACAAGTATCCCATTTGTGGGGTTGGCGCAAATTTACAAGGTAGCTATTTCTTTGTCTGGTTAGTGTCTTCCGTCTGTCCGTCGTTTCCAATACTCAAAAACTTCGTTCTTTATGATTCTCGATTTTCTTTTCATTTTCCCTTCCAGTTTGATCGAAGAGCTGACTTTTCCAACGAGACGAATCGTAACGCACACCTCTTTCACAAAAAAAGGTTTTAGGTTTTCATTACCATTGAAGCATGACCCACCTGCATTCAAATCAATAAACAGAATGTCCGGGGTTGCACCGACAGCCAAATATTATTTCCGATTGAGCGGGCATTTAKGACAATCAACAAGCCATGCAAAACGTAATTTTTCGACAACCAGGTCGGATTTTTTGTCACATCGAGGACGTCGAAGAACTAGAGCGGAAGTTTCGCCGGCATCGTCCTTTCCTTCTTGTTTTTATTCTCAATCGGTTACAAGCCGGGAGTTATCCGCATTATTGACACCACGAAACAGTGAACGATCCCCTTCAATTGCAACATCAAACAATGACAACGATGCTCCAGACGGTGGTGCCGACGGCCCGTCTCGTAATCAGGACAGCCGCCAAGAAAAAGCCCTTGAAAGATTCACCCATTTCGCTCTCAATCCAAAGATGGTGCCACTCGGGGCTATGCAAGAGGAAAACTGGTTAGATATTTCGGATGCAATAGATGGATGGCTTGGCAAAGGGGGAGGCTTTGGTGTCGATTCTGCGGAGCTACTCCTAGAACGGTTACTGAGTGAACATGCTGCTTCTTATTCGGGGGGGAAATATTTTCACAGCCCATCTTATTTGGAAAAATCAACCTCATTGGCTAGATTGCAGAGAGAGGTGTTGAATTCGTGGATCCAGGCTTTTCATCTATCGGGCGGAAGCTCGCAACTCGCATTATCTCGGGCCGAGCGAGCTATGTTCAGACTTTTAAAGTTAAAGGAGAGAGCCGACAAAAAGACACTGCATGTCCCTTTCCCAGTCGAACAATATATCGCAATTGTTGATGGATATCTTGAAGCTGATGTTCACCGACAGCGACGGCCAACGAAGGCAGGCAATTTGTTACGCACATTAATATCATACGACAATTTTGCAAAAGACCTAAAAGACGCGGACCATTTCATAGAAATCGGTCCACTACTTGAAAACTGCACTTCTCAACTGTTAGGCTCTGATCCAAGAAATTTGCTGGGTACTGAATTGGTAGAAAAAATGAAGGTCCTAAAAAAATCTGGAACTCTTCCTGATATTAAGATTCCCGACGTAACAAAACGGATACAAGTGAAGTCGTCCTTCCAACGGACACAAGATACAGTAACGTCGACAACAAAAGAAATGTCACCGTTCGAAATTGAGGTCACGGAGAATCGGCTACTTGAAATCTTAAACAGCGCAAACGAAGTGGAGAAAGATACAGTCGACGACCTTCTTCAGAGATTGCCGACGCTGAAGCCGAGAATCGAATTGATTGTCGCGATTCTTGGATATTATATTCGGATTAAAGACAGCGAAGCTTCGTCGTACTGGCTACAAGAATTAGAACCCTCATTTTTAGTGACTTCTTACGATCTTGTGGAGCGCGTTCTAAAATTGTGGTTGACCGAAGAAGGATCAGGCGCGCCATGGCGAGCCGATGAAGTTTTCAAGGCGGTAGCGCGGAAAATCCATCTTTACGACGATAAGTTTCTCATGAGCTCGATGAGTTTGAAGCTAATTGTGGAGAATTGGGCATCCAGCGAAGATCCTTCAGCGAGTAGAAAAATGATTGACTGGTACTCGCAATTGACCTCCCGACAGGTCAAACCAGATGAATCGACGCTGGTAATGATTTTGCAAGCCCTGCGAAGTACAAACACCGATAAACCCCTCGAGCTCGTCTCAGGAGAGATCTTTCAACAATGGAAGAGCTTTAGTAGTGAACAAAAAGAAAGGATTGCAACTGAGATTTTGGAGCTGATCGCTTTGAAAAGAGACAATGCGGACATGATTTTGGAATTTGTCGATCGACTTCTTGCTGACAATGTTGTCCCTTCGGAAGTTCTGTTTCGATCATCTATTTCTGCAATACAGAACCATAAGAACTCACCCTCTGACGTACTGTCAGTTGTCTATTCCTTTGATGAAGCATCCAATCATACGAATCTGACACTCTACACCTCGGCTATCGATTTTCTTTTCAAAATGAATGAAGATGCCATGCCACAAATTGAAGCTCTGTATGATCACGTGCTAAAAGAAATGGCGGCAAGTTCAGAATTCATAAAACGAGAAGATTTTTCTGAATTCTTGTATGTTGTCATTGCGATGCATGTAAATAGAAAACTGTATTCGCAAGCGGAAAATTTCTTGACAAAAGCAGAAACTCTATTGCTTCCTTCAACTGCTGCGATCGTCAATCAATCACCTATCCCACTCAAGTGCTACAAAAAAATAATTGTTCGGAAGTGGTATACAGCTAAGACAGCCCCAAAAGTGGAAGAGTCGTTCGAAAACCTTATGAAATTGTATCACAGTGGCTACAGAAATCTCCAACCAGATTCAGATCTATATCATGCATACATCAGTGCGCGTGTAGCAGCCGGTAAAGATGCTGAGAATAATCTTCACGAAATGATCGAACAGTACGAATTAGTTGGAAAGGAAGAAATGAAACCCCAAGCTAGCGTGTTCAATACTGTCTTGCTTTCTCTATCTCAAGGCAAAGGGAAACCATCAATGTTAGAGAAGAAATCTATCACTCTCTTGGAACGCATGTCTTCTCTTGGTGTTCAACCTGACATAAAAACCATCAATTTGGTTCTCAAAAATGTCATCAAAGGAAAATACGACAGTGCCTACAACACATCAACCATGCTGACAAACATGATAGAAGAGCATGGACTTCGTCCAGATTCTCACACGCTTCACTTGGTCCTAGACGCTTGTGGTTCAGCACCAGCCGGTGAGCGCAACAATGCCATACGCAAATGCCTGTCAACGTTTGGCGATATTCGCACTCAAAATTTTGTTGGCCCAATAACATACGGTATCCTGAGCAAAGTTGTCTATCGATTGGTATCGAGAGATCTTCGAGCAGATAAGATCGGAGAATCCATTTTCTCGCTGTGCTGTGAAGATGGAATGCTTACATCTGAAGTAAGAGGGCGCTTGAAGTCGATGATGAGCCGCACAGCTTGGGAAAAAAAATACACACGTCATCTAAGTAGTGACAAAAGTGAACCACCTGATTGGAGTCGCAACATTGGAATACAATAGCCTTGTCTCAATGAGTGTTATCAGTTGCACAATTACTTTCGCTTCCTGAATCAATCCGGAGTAGAATTATTGTACATGGCTTTCGAACGGCAATAGGTACTCGCGTTCTTCTAAATTTCCAGTCGCTCAGTTTTAAGTGGCTATAGATACATCATATAAAACTTCAGATACCCATCTGAAATGACCTCAACACAAACAAAAAACACCAGTACCACCACTTCAATTGGAACAAAGAAGGGCAGTCACTAGGAGCACATCTAGTTTCTTACTACTACTGGTGGTGTGCTAGGGTGTGCTAGAATTGTAGTCAAAGGACTCTCACTAAGAGCACGTCTAGTTTAACTCTTGCAATGTATTGCATGCCCAGAGAACTAGCTAGCAGTAGGACAACAGAGAGTGAATTTTGGGTACTATGAGAAATTAATTAATGATAAAAATGCTGCTGGGATGTCTACATAAGGGTTCTAATCATTGAACTCTTTAGATAGCTGCAGATCAACTTCTGCATTCTTGATACTCTTGATCTTTTCTTAACTGCTGCTACTAGTAGCATGCTCAAAATCACACAATAGAGCTAACAACAAGAGATGATCTGAATGCACAGGCACTGAACAGGCACTGGTGAGAAATGTCCCTCATAGGCCCAACAAACGCCCCCCTTTAGTCCCCAGTCTCCAGAATGACTCTTCTGTAGAAGTGCCCCCAGTGGAGAACCCAGTGAAAATGTCTCTAGAAGACCTAGCAAATGTCCCCCTATGTATGATCTCCCGGCAAGTACAGTTTCCCATAAGTGTGATATTCAAGTGTCCCCTAAGAAGAACCCATTGGAAATGTCCTTGAAATGCCCCGCAAATCGTTCCCCTAATTGTGAAGACCACATGCCCTATTCATTGCTTAATGTTCAGAAGGACCCTGAAATGAATGCCCTTGAGTCAATGTTCAGCACGTGTCTCCCCCTATGGCAATATCTCTGGTCCAAATGGCAGTTTTATTGTTGTAAGGAGGCCTAACCAATCCCTGATGAAGCCCTACTGTTAACAAATACCCAGGATTTGTCTTTGAATACACAGTCTTTAAGCAAAAAGACTCTCTTAAATAACTGTTCATGTGATGTTTCTACTTCTTCTATCTCCACTTCTGTTCTTGGTTCCAGTACAAATCCTACAGGCCAAAGCTTTGGAGGGTGCTGAGACAAGCATGGCATTATGAGCCAGTTATTTCTACAGGATTTTCTACAGGATCTCCTACTCTGGACCAAGCCATGCATCAAGAATAGATTAAGGTTACTAATAAAGGATCTAAATGTTCTTCTACTGCAGTCACTCCCTCTAAACTATGCAAGCCCAAAGCTGTCAACTTTTCCAGTACTATTCAGTCAAAATCTACAGCTACTACTACTGCAATCAGTATTACTCAAAGCCCATCAGTCTCTACAACACTGTCCACTGTTCCTAAATTTTCAACGTTTGCCAAGAACTCTGTAATCCCATAAAAGCAGGACCCAAACCAGCATACTGGTGGTCCTTTAAACAATGAAGCACACTTCATGTATGCTTCTCCCCATCCTTGTATTCAGCCCCAGACATTGGTTTGTCTCAAGATTTCCTGGAAGTTGCCCACTAGTACCAATCTTCCCCATGGCCTTGATTCTCCAATCACCAACAACCCTTCCCAGACACAGCTGATTGATCACACAATAGCAACAACCTTGCATGCTTTACTGAGTGCCAATGAAGTGATTCCCTCCCCATTTACTCTGGTTGGAAGTAGTGGCCTCATTTGCACAACCCTGTTCTTTTACCGCAATGAAACAAGACCTTGAGTACTCCATTAACCCCACTGACAGAAGAGTCTACCTCACTCTTTGGTACAATGGCCATTGATACTACTAGATTCAACCAATAGAGTAATTTTGAATTTCAAACACTCTCTTGTTGATATTCCCCAGCAGCATGGTATCTGGATTATTTGTCACACAGCTATTATGAATTCAGTTGAGACTACAGAGGTAACATGATTCAGTGGCAATCACTGTCCTGAGGCTATCTCCCAGTCCATTCTTCAAAAGAAATTCAATGCTCTGGTCCAATCTTTCTTGTTGCACACAAACAGGAAGAAACTGGAATCTCAAGTTGTGTCCAAAACTCCTTCCCTCTCCAAGCAGGATGGCACTAGTATTCCCAAAGTCATGGTCACCACAGTATGTCCTTTGTGGAAGAGATTGGTGAGTGTTGCACACCAAATACATTGATCCAATCCTTCTTGCATACTAACAGGAAGTAATTAGAATCTCAAGTTGATTTCAAAACAATTACTACTGTCTGCCAGTGTCTTTGTTACTCTCCTTGCATCTCAACATCAACACCAAATAACATCTCCTCCATTGACCTCTCAAATGATTCCAATACTGGTAGAAGTCATTCTAGTGTTGGCCATGACATCAGAATTTATGAAAATTTGACTTCTCAACAGGATGACACAGATCTTCTACATTTGGACTCATCTTTGATGACTACAGACTCAGTTCCTCTTCATCTTCCAGCCTGACACCTCACCCAACACAGGTTACCTTTGTTTGTGACAACAAAGCACTCATCGCCAGAATCTGATCTAGATACAAATACACAGAAGTATATGCAAATGACACCATGGCAACACACTTTGATTTGAATAAACAAATTTTCCAAACCACACACTCACCACATATTTCTCATTCCTTTTCTTGGATTAAAAGCCAACTGGATGATGAGATTGATTTTGATGAGCTCCCACTGACAGATCAGTTTAATGTTGAAGCTTGCTGGCACTTTTCAAGTCAAAATATCAACCATGCCTATTTCATAACACCAGTTCTACTTTCATGCCCAGCAGTCCTTCAAGTTCAATCATGATATATCACTAGCCAATACAAGAAAGCTCTCACTGATTCTTGTCTCCTTTGATGCTATCATGCATACTTGGAAGAAAGAAATTAGTGGCCACCTCACATCCTTGCAGATGTTTTTTGGAAGTCACTACTAGAGATTGCCATCAATTGCATCTCTAGGAATGTTCTGGTAACTAAATGCTTTGATCACATTTTGCCCACTGTCACAGTCTTCAAAGGGTGGACATATCACACTCAAGACACATGTGGTACTAGTTTCTGCTTGCATCCCAAAGATTCCAAGCGTCTCTTTGGACATTCTCATCCAACCCAAATAATCACCTCATTGAAGCAACGGATGTCCACCCTGGGCTTCAGATTGACTGCCACAGATACTCTTGCCAGCTGCCTTACCAAATTGCTGGATACTTGAATTGTTTCACCAGATAAATATCCTACATCCATCCACCCAGCTATTCATTTCCAGAGTGAGATTGGAAGGCACCATTTGTTTGCTTACAACCTTTCACTTTAGTGGATCACTAACCTCGACCTTCACTCCAACTCTCACTCCCCAACTGTGCTGGGGGATTATCTTGTGGAATTCTTTCTTACTTCTTGTTATGTCTTGTTGTCTATGCAAGGGAGAAAATGTAACTGGACAAAATTGCTACTTTTCTACCTAAAACTACGCCTTAATCTGATGTTAAGTTGTAATTTAACAATACCATTAAATTTGCACTATAGATTGGGCAGTTTATTGCATGCATTTAACATGTAAGGGACTAAATTTGTACTTAAATGCAAATTTGCAGTTTCTCCCTCACCTGGTTGTGGGAACAGAGAAATAAATATCTTCACAGTTACACTCTTCTCAGAAATAAGCACCAAAATGATATTGGTTACTGACAAAAGTCTGCAATTTCTTTGCCCTAAAACCACAGGTGTATCTGTCTCACGCTCAATACAGGACTAATTTGAATAAAGTGATTTTATCAAGGTCCATGAGAATATGACAGTAGGGAATATATGTCCCCAGGGATGTTGCTAGGAATGTCTTGGGGTGTTCTTTTCCAACAAGAAGGCCATAGAATTGGAACAGCCATTGGACATATGATGTGTGGTTTGGCAGTTACCATTCTGTTGTAGGTATCTACCCAGAAAGGACCTATCTCCTGTCCATCAGGTGAAAAAGGACACTCAATGTAATCCTTGTACCAATCATGGGATAGAGAGGAGTCCTCACTGCTGTGTGCTGAAGCTACCACAATCTCAGTGGATGTACATCTTGTTCCAACAACCAACAGCTAATCATCCCCTCCCCATTGACACTAATCAGCAACACTCCCTAACACTAATCAGCAGGACTGATCTGCAACAGTTTTCCAACAGCAGCACTCCTATCCACAACAGTATATCAGCAGCAACACTAATCAGCTATCAACACTGGCTATAAGGACAACAAATCAACACCAGCTATCAACACCAGCTATCAACACCAGCTATCAACACCAGCTATCAACACCAGCTATCAACACCAGCTATCAACACCAGCTATCANAACACCAGCTATCAACACCAGCTATCAACACCAGCTATCAACACCAGCTATCAACACCAGCTATCAACACCAGCTATCAACACCAGCTATCAACAACAGCTATCAACACCAGCTATCAACACCAGCTATCAACAACAACAACAACAACAACAACAACAACAACAACAACAACAACAACAACAACAACAGCAACAGCAACACCAACAGCAACAACAACAACAACAACAACAACAACAACAACAACAGCAAATCAAAGAACAACACCCCCAAGCAGCACTAATAGGCAATAGTTTCTCCCAAGCAACACTCCTATCCTCAACAATATTTCAAGAACAACACTAATCAGCTATCAGCTATCAGCGCCAGCTACAGCTACAGCAACAAATCAACGAATTGACAAGGACAACAAATTGATGACTTTATCAGTGATGCTCAGCAACACTAGCAGGGACACTCAGCAACACTACCAGCAACACTATTATCAATGTCACTCACCAACATAACCAACCGCCAGCTTTTGACCAGGACAAAACTCCCTAAGTTTGTCCTCAATTAGTCCCACTTGTCCTTACAGTTGAGAAAAGTGAGCCTCCTCAAATAAGGGTGTTGCTTCACACTTTTTGACATTTGTACTTCAGAAGTGATGTACCTTTCTTTTTTAAAATACACAAGAAAGAGATCAATCCCAAAATCAATACACAGCAACTAAAGACAGATATCAAACTTTTTCTTTTCAGGGTTGCCAATCTTTTCCTTCAACAGGAACTTTGTTGCTATCTTTGTAAAGATAAAACCACAATTGTGCAACAGACAAGAGGTTGTCTGGAGTTCCCCTAAGACTTTGTCAACAAAGATTGGCGAAGCCTATGATTTATGGCCAAGTTTCCCTAATACATCAGTTTTGCAATTGGGTTGAATACTGTGTGTGTGTGTGTGTGTGTGTGTGTGTGTGTGTGTGTGTGTGTGTGTGTGTGTGTGTGTGTGTGTGTGTGTGTGTGTGTGTGTGTGTCATGGTGCAAAGTCCTTGGCTGAAAGTCCTTGGCTGAAAGTCCTTGGCTGAAAGTTGTTGGCTAAATTGGAGTTACTGAAGTCAGGAGGATTTGGCATGGATTGGGGGGTTTGGGTTCTTGATGTTTGGCAGATGAGGATTGTTTGTTGACATGACTCATGACAAGAACAAAACTGAACAAGGTAAACAAAATAGTAGAATTGAAAAATGTTGGTGCAACTGGCAACTTTCAAGAACGAGGGATATTATTTTGTGTCCAGAGGAGAAATAGAATCTCTGAAGAACAAAATTTAAAGAGCATGTTCAACAAATAGTGTGTGATGAATATAAACTTCTGGGTTGAGGTGTCTGATGTTCTGAGAACACTGTTCCAAAAATTCAACTTTAAATGGTAGGATATTTAAATGAATGAGAGATGAAATACCTTCACATCAAATTGTAGAAGAGCCATTTAGAAAATGCCAGTTGGAGAGGAAAGTTTTAACCAAACATAAAATATTTTCAAGAATGAAACAGGAGGTTTACTACTATGCATGGATGATGCTGGTAGGGAATATAGAGTGCAGCAAACAATGGGCATGTGTTTTGGGGATCAAACAAATTTGTTATTGCAAGCAAAAAAAATGTTTGTGAACAAAAATAACTCAACTATGAAAATGCTTTATATGTTTCTACCGTAATTCAAAAATCTGATCCCTTCTTGAGGAGTATTGTATGATGCAACCACAAACATTTTGTTACTAGCAGCCCAGTGCTGAACAGAACAGTCATGGAAGTGCTCTAAAAAGCAACACAAATTTCTACACAATTAAGCGTAGCATTAACACATTATGTTATAATTTTCTCATTATATTATTTGTAATACAGCAACTACTACGTCACAATATGATCACAACTAATGGAAAGACAAGAACAGCTGGAACTGCTTAGTAGATCCAACCATCCTGCAGAGAACTGGTTTTTGGCAGAAATCACAGCAACTGGTGGAAAGATATTAACTGGCAAACTAAATAGCAGGTCCATCACAGCAGCAACAGCAGGATACAAGCAGCATCTCCTGACACAATGATCAAGGTTGGGTTGAGTGACAAGCAAAAATCCTGGAGGAAGGCCTGGAAGGATCCCAGTGATGATGTACAGTATATATTCAAGGAGCCACCAGAGCATGCAGAATAGCAGTAGAACATGGTGGTATCAAGGTGCACAAATGGGGAGATTGTTTCTGTGACAACACGCAAGGGTGTCCTCATTCACTTTGTCAACCCCAAGCCCTGGTGAGCAGAATAAATTTATGGTTTGCTGTTAGTATTGCAAACCAAAGCTATAATACTGCAGAATACAGAGTTTTAACTTTGGAACATACAACTGGAATTAATGAACTAGAAGTATACTATCAAAATAAGGATTCTTAAAAAAAATAGAGTCCAATTGTCAGCCCAAGTCAACAACAGAGTTCTGGATAATGCATTTCTAAAACATCTTGTCAGATTGTCAAAGCCCAAGCCAACAACAGAGTTCTGGATAATGTATTTCTAAAACAACTTGTCAGATTGTCAAAGTAAAGTATCAGGTAGAAAACAAACTTTTCTTGCACCTGATCTAGTAAAAGTATATTTTCATTGTTTTCGTATCCATAAAAACTGAATCTCTAAATGTAAGTTACATTGTCTTGCCTAAGAGAACATTGTCGATTATTTTTGAGGTCAAGTCACATTCCCAACAATCTGCTGTTAAGAATTCATCGCAAACAACCTTTAGATTCATAAGATCTGAGGGAGGATACAATTTACATCCAATCCTCACAACCCTTCCTCTAACTGAGAGCTGTTGCGAAGTAATTTTGATGTTCTGGCGCTTCATGTCCCAAGGCCCAAATGCTCCTTCAAGACTTTTACCATTTAATGGAGAAAGAACTACACAGTCTGGATCTTCTGAATCTTTGGAGAGCTCTACCAAAACACCGCCATGTGCATCGCTCTCGGTGGGACCAGTATATCCAAAAGTGTGTTGCAAGATCAGTGCTAATAAAGGTTTTTGAATGATTCCTGTGACAGGAACAATCGAAGCTTTTAGACAGAGCCAAATCCACAAAGATAGACAAACTTTGGAGATACCGCGACCGCGCTTCGTTGGTTTTAAAAACATTCCCAAAAGTGAACTTGTTCGATCATTCGCGTTATTTTTCATCAATAGGAACCCAATTTTCTGCTGTGTCCAAGACTGTGTCTCATCCTCGAAGGCATTCTCAAAGAAAAGGAGTTGAATTCCGTTTCTCGATGGATTGCGATGCGGGCGTAAACCGATTGTGACGTTCATGCCATCAATCCTGTCCAGATATGTCCCTATCATCCAATAGGATTCTTTACCTTTACCCACTTTTCTTATACCCTCCCATTTGTGAAAGCGGTAGTCGCTTTGAATGATTGGTGTTACAAGTTTTGAATTTTCAAGTTTTTGGTTGTGTACAAGGCCATTATTTTTCTGACGAATTCGTTCCAAGCGTTCCATGCCACTCCAATCGGAACGTTGGCTATATGCCGACAACACCATGTCATTCATCGCTTCGATACTTTTTGCGCTGCAATTGTGCGTTGGGTGTTCCAAGCTTTCGAGAATCTTAGTGGCCTCATCGAGCATATTCGAGCGAACCAATGCACTGATGATCAACGAGTAAGTGACGCTATCGCAACCGGCAGATGAGTTGGTTGGTGAAGGAACCATTTCGTGAAGAATCTCAAGCGCCTGTACTCCCTTGCGACACTTCGCCAAAACTGTCAACAGTGCGTTTGTGCTAAGAGTCGATGAATGTTGCTTCGGTAATTTGTTTTGATAAATATCGAGGGCTAGTTCCCAATTTTTGGCCTTTCCACAGGCAGCAATTGCAGCATTGAAACTCGCTGCGGTCGGGGGGCAAAAATTATCCTCTAGAAGATCCACCGCTTTTGCAAGTTGACCAGAGCCTCCCAACACCGATATCATCATGGCGCGGGCGGATTCTGAAGGATACTTCTTGTAAAGTTCCAGGGCTAACTCGTGCTTGTTCGCATTGCCGCACACTCTTAGAGCAGCCACGATAACGTTTGAGAAGCCCTTATCAAAATTTACAGGACCTATGGGTTTCTGAACATGTTCGGCATCGTTCTTGGTGTCTATCTGGGCTATGACATTCAGTGTATGGGTCACATTGTTTGGCTGCGACCGGATCTGTCGTACAAGTAACTTGGTTTGGTAAGATAGGGAAAGCGACCAGCAAGTCAGCACGTAATGAAGAACCAACACAGATACTATCTTCTTTTTGATGAAGTTATCATTCTTAGGCTTCATCCTGTGGCATTAATCCGCTGGCAATACACGCGGTTGACCATTCTAGTGTAGATTACTGCAGCGTCTACCATACAGAGGAATTTGTTGATAAGTTATCATGAATCATGAAGATGTTGCTTTTTGTTTTTTCAGCAAAAAGCTGGTTGGAATGGTACAACTCGTACGCACCACCGTACGTAATAGTGGCAATATTAATCGTAGAGTAAGGCTGGGGTGTGAAATATCGCGTCCGATTTATAACAGGTTATGAGTCATAATTTTGCGAGCCATTTTTAATAATCAGCTAAAGCTTTGCTTGCTTGTTAATGCTACCAAAGCACCAATCAGAAATTGAGAATCCATTAGCGGGAAAGGATTTTCTCTTGTCTTTCCATACATGTGCATATTGTATGTGTTTTTTGCCAGAGAACCTTTTCCGGCTACTTGATTTCTCTGCGCACGGAATTTTCCGAAAAACTCATTAACACAACCTCCAGCATAGGGACCTGTCACTCCTCCAGTTCAACACTTTAAGCACCACTAACAGCGTGATTGATATACAGGACCTCTTCATTATAACAAGGACAGGGGGATCCAGAAGTAGCGGATCGATTGATGCAGTGGTTTAGAAGAAAATAGCTGTATTCAATAAGCATCAAAATCGACGAAGTATCAGCATCCTCCGTATCAGGAGCCTCGTATCAGCATCCTCCATATCAGCACCTCCTCTGTATCAGTGAGCCTCCATATGAGAACCTCCTCCATATCAGCAGCCTTGTATCAGCAGCCTCGTATCAGCGTCCTCCTCCGCATCAGCATCCTCCTCCACATCAGTGCCTCCTCCGTATCAGCAGCCTCGTAGATATTTTTTTTGGGTTCCAGGTGGAACTAAGTGATAGCTTGAGGTGCAGGGTTTAATATATTGCACTGTTCTTTGTGTAGGCATGTGTAGAAATAGTAACAAAAAATACCTGTCACGCAATATTTCACACCCCAGCCTTGTACTGTAGCTCACTTTTTGCTTGTACAAATTTTTTAGTATTGGAAAGGACAGACAGACGGGAACCCACTGATCAGACAAAAATGACTATTTTGCGATTGCATTTGGTTGGCTGAAGCAAGTAGAAGTAGTATAGCACCCACAACTGACTCAAATAACACCTGTTGCACAAATACCGACTCAAAAGTACGACAATTCATATTTCAAATCCTCCAAGCCACCAGCACCTACAACTGACACCAACAGAGAAGCACCTTGTTACACACAGGTGTCACCATAGAACCCCCCC